GAACAGAAAAAGGGACGATGTAAAACCATTCCATCTTATCATGTTAGTCATCCAATCAATCTAGCTAGCTACCGCCCCGGATGTCCATCCTGATAACTCCCAGACGCCTGAGACCCATGGCCAGCGCCATACGCACCTCTATAACTCGTATCATAATCATGCAAATAGCTGCTATCACCAGTCACAGGCAGCGGCGGCGGACTGGTCAGAATATTGCCATGATTATTGTTATTATTACTATTGCTATTGCTATTGCTATTCGACGTCGGATCATACAACGGCGGGGGGACAGCGGTTCCATGCAGGGCCCCCAAATCATCCGCGTCGTTGTTATGCAGCAGCGCATATGCGTCGTTGGGATCACGGCGGAAGGCGCCGGCGGTAGGGGATCTGCCGGATCGGAATTCAGCGTCCCGGTCATCTTCGTCGTCGAAGTCTTGGGCTGGGTTGGACGAGAAGGCGGCTTTGGAATGTGCGGCGAAGGTGGGGTCGGAGCCTTCGTAGGGCATCGTGCCGCTTCGACGGTATTCTATGAGATTGCGGATGGAGAGGTAGGATGTGGCGATGAAGAGGAGGCTGTGCGGGGAAGGGGGGTGTTAGTGTTTCTGTGGAATTGATAGAAGTATCAGAGTGAGATAGAACTTACCACACCCCAACACCCAGGACCGCGGTTCCGGTGCTTAATCTGCACTTTGCGGGGGAACCGAATGCGAATGCATCGCAGCCATTTCTATCTTTATTCTTTTTATCTTTTTCGCCCTCTTTCTTGCCAGCGCCTACGTAGGATGCAACGGCCACCCAGGAGGCGAACCAGAGAACAGCGAATAACACGTCGATTGCAGCGAAGGCATACGCATTGCCGAATCTCCGTGTCCGCGGCCACATGGGCACTGCGGCGAGGTAGACGAGGGCGGGCGCCGTGAGCCAACACTATATACAACACCAAGCAAGAAAGTTAGCAATCTGCCTCTCTTCCATGATGTTAAATTATATATTTTTGTATTGACTGCCTCCAAAATCCGTGCTTTTACACAGCCATATATATATATATATATACATATATAAAGAGCAACAAAGGAAAGTGACATACCAGCGCAAAATAGTATGCTGTCCGACCATCTGTATCCCCATCCCGTGTGAAAACGGCGACTGTGAGGGCCCAGCCCAAAAAAACAACGAAGCCCTGCAGGCCATGAAGGAGCATCTTCATCCTTGGGAAATGAAACGAGGAAAACATGGTTGCCTGTAGGGTGACGCTGTATAAATTTATATGTTTACGCCAGGCTTGCCCAGCACACCCCTTCTCTGAATAACACCAATATTTTCCAACCCGTTTTGATCGCACCGGATTCACTCGCTTCGGGATTTATTTCTGGCAGTCAATGATAGCTGTATGGAGTATTTATCTAGGTGGAGGTGGTGGTGGTGGTGGTAGTAGTAGTAGTAGTAGTAGTAGTAGTAGTAGTAGAGTGATTGCTGCTGGTATTCTCACATAAACTGTCAGGCTGGGATGATGAGAAATAAATGAGCTTTTGTTGGGAGGCCAGGAGAGCAGGAGAGACAAATGAAATGAAGGGAAATGCAGGAGCAGTAAAACAAACAGCAGCATATGGCAGAAGTGAGGGATAATAGACAGCAGGTTGCCTGACTCTTTGTCTGTGCTGTGGCTGTTCTCTCTGGTGGAGGCTGAGTTGGAGGCAGGCTGTGAGTTGCGATGTTTGTTTTACCTGCAATCTTCGAGCCGGGAATATTTACTCCGTTCGTTCATTAGGCGGCTTGTCACTGGGTCTGTTTAGTCTCTAGGGAGCTGAGCAGCAGGCCCTGGCTGCTGTTTGTTTCGCGTCTTCATCCAGGCGGGCCCATACCCACATCTCTGGAACAACGAACACATGAATAAACTAATCCCCCAACCATTAATTTCATTCTCTGGCATTTCCAGAAACCCTTTTGCTCGACTTCGTCTCAACGTCCATCGGTGTGATTGGAGACCGTAGGTCCATATGGAGGGAGTAAATAAGCTCCCTCTAACCGGATATCTATGCATTGTCGAAGATCGAAGGCCGATGTTGACTGATGCTTGTTGAATTCCAACTCATATGCTGGATGTTGTCAAAAGAGGTTTCAGGCAGAAAGGGCAGATTTCTGGTCAATAAAGTTTCTTACCACGGGTTGGGGTATGGGTCAGGGGCATGACAGAAAGTTACATTCGTGATTTAGAATGTCACTCTGTATAGTTACGCTAATCAAGGAATCTTCTTCCTCTCCCTCATAATATTTAATTATATCATGCCCATCTTGCGGTGCCATTAGTCTAGTCACAACTATTAATAATCCTTGAGTACGAAGTTGCTGCCGCCGCCACGCCTCACTAACTATCTCTTGAACTGTACCCAAAAAAAAAAAATGAAAAAAAAAAAATGAAAAATGAAAAAAAGAAAGATGATCAGACCGGGAGATGAAGTTTTAACTTCTTAGAGCTCGTTCAGTTCCTAGATCTTGTTTGATGTCTAGCCTCGCTCGTTCTGTTCTTAGAGCTCATTCGAAACCCCCCCCCCCCCCCCCCGGCTACTTATCTTGCCACAGTACATTGTGCTGTCTGAGAGGTTCGTGCTTGGGCTGAATGGAAAAAGGCCAATGTCCTTGTTGAACTGTTGATGCTTACTATTGGGTGAATTACAAATATCAATGCGGTTAATACCAACTCCTCTAGCCAGGCATGCCATCCTCAAGTGTTCCTCTCTGATCCGCATCTGGTTCAAATCGAATCTCATGCATTTGGCTGGCCCCAGGAAAATCTTCGTGGAAATCTGGTCGCAAAGATCGTGCAGAACAGATATGTGATCGATCATCACCCGGTTATCCAGTTAAGACTCAGGTAGGTCATTGATGCAGAGAAGATACCTGTGATGGGACCACCAGGCACACTGTCTTCATATGCGTGGAGTGGAGGGAAGGATCTCACACGGGTGAGTTGTCAGCACGGCTATTTTCGATGAACAGCAGCTCTAGAAGGGGTGCCTGCTCCTCCATGGTAGTCTGTTCTGGCCGGATTCCATGTGGTTTCACATGGTGTGTTGAAGCTCCCGGTTTTGTGCCGACTAACGGCTGAACAATCTCACAAACAGCACAGGGGGTAGGCGTGCATGACCTGCAGCTCAACGTCTATAAAAGTATTCCGCCGTGCGCCCCAGGCAGGAAGAGTGGGAGGCATTCTGAGCTTCAGAGAGAGGGAGGTGAAAAGAACCAGTACACAATGCTGCAGTTGAATGTCATTTTGTTTCTTTCAGAATAAATCTCAACATAGTGCTGCGGTTCTTGCACAAATTCTTCAATTGATGACTTCATGGATTGGTCGGAGTGGCATAGGGAAGGGTAGGAAGGCTATACGAGATTGAAATTGCAATATGTATGGGAGAACATTGAAGGATGAAGAGAAGTGTTAGCATAGGGGATGGAGAAAGGGAAGAAAGAGAAGAGAAAGGAGGAGGAGATGCAAGCTAGCAATTGTGTTATGAAGCAGGAAAAATGAAGCTACTGTCTAATATATAGTTTGTGATCCCAGTTATCTTTCCCTCCCTATTGTTCAATGTCAACAATTCTTCCTAGCCCTGGTGCTGCGCAGTTATATATACAAAAGTTAAACCGACCAACAAGGCCTTGAAGCTAAGGTTCTCCAGATGTAGATCGCAAGAGATTCTCCGTTGCTAGCCCCCAAACTACCCCTGCTATTAGCTGTTCTTGTTGCCCTGTATGTAGGTAGCCCGGATGGTCCAAAGATTTCAACAGCAGCTATCAGTTTTCTTTTGCGGATTGAAGTGAGATTCTTGAATGAGAATCGTCTAAAAATGCTAAGTATTTGGCTTTCCGCTCTTGGATGGGTAGTAACTAACCCACACACTCCAAATAGAGGTTTCCCTCACCCTTGCCGGCCTGAAATATGAAGATGATATTTTCCTGCCTGTCACTCAATACGGTCCGATTGTTTACTCTGCTATTAATAGTTACCAGTTATAGAAAATACAATTTAAAAAATAAAATAAGATGACACCCGGTCTAGTGGCGGCTCCCTGATCAAAAAATTAAATAATTTTATAAATTCTAGCAGGCTTATCATTCTATTGAAGTTAAATACTTGTTCACTTTTAATTAATACAGCTGCTGCAGTCTTTTTCACTTGAATCAATGAATTTTTAGATTAAATTCTAGTGTTCAAAACAATAGCTTTATCTAAAGCCTGCTTAGTATTTTTAATATTATAAACTTGCTATTGAAATCAGATTGATATTTTTTTTATTGATTTTGTTAATTTGTAAATTATAACTTTTTAAATTATTTATTAAAAATTAAAATTTTGATAATTTATTAATCTTATTTAGATATTTTTATTAATTTTAACTTAATATTTTATAAAATTTAATTAATAAAATTTATATATAAAAATATTATTATTAAATTCAAATTTATAAAATTTTAAATTATTTTATTAATTATTTTTAATTAATTTAAAATCTTTTTAAATTATAATTTTTATATAATTAAGTTATTTATATAATTAAATTTATTTTATAATAAATATTAAAATTTAAATTATAAAATTTTACTATATAATATAATTATTAAAAATAATATTTTAATAATTTTAATTATATATATTTAAATAAAAATTTTAAATAAAAAATTTAAAAAATTTATATTATTTATATTAATTTATATTATTAATATTTATTTATTTATTAAATAAATTATAAATTATAAATTTATTTTAATTAAATTTTATAAAATTTATAATATTATTAATTAATAAAATAAAATAAAATATTTATTTTTTAATTTTATTTTTTATTATACTCTGTAAAACAAGTTAAATTAAAAAAAAATTAATTGAATAACAATAAAAATCTATTTATAAAATAAGAGGTGATATTTAAATTCCTAAAGCAGCAGATATTGACAAACATCCTGAGCTGAGAAGATATATTTGATAAAAAGTAAATAAATTTGATGAGAAGTAAACATTATAACAGCTATTCTGATAATGTTTTGATGTTGAAAATTCTAGTTTCGGCAGTAAAATGCCAGCAAGAGGCTGGTCTAATAAGGCATTTATCTGGGTTGTGCTTGAGTGCCTGAGGACTTGTGGCGCCCTCAATCGCTTCGTTAAATGAAAACCAGAACGCGGAGGGGTCGAATCATCCGTATCATGAGCTTATATCCGACAGCCTTTGAGATGCCGCAGAGCAGGCACCAGCACTCTGCACATAAACATGGATTTTTGCGCGAATTGATGCTTTCATTTCCCTTGATATTTTTGCCATTTATAACTACTATATATACTCCAGCTGAAATCATTGTGACTCAACCTGTGTGTCTCCTTTCAGCCTGTTGAGCGGAAAATCATGCAGGATCAATGATTGATTAATAATAACTAAAAAAGCTTGGAACTACCCTCTTTGACGAAGCAAACAGCTGCTGGGCACAATCGAGCCGTGATTGCAGCTGAAACAAGCACTGGAGTTTGTGGGAGCAAAATGTTCTGCCTTGATTCTGGCAGCTGTCAAATTCGAAACACATGCGAGGTGGCTTGCTTCATGACCATCCTTTTGATTCATCTCTGAAACACAGGCTCTTCAGACAAAATGATGACACAGCGGAGAGTCGGAAGAAGGAGGGATAAAAAGGAGGTAAGGGATAATTTGAACTCGGCAGTGCTAAATATGTTCGCATCCACCGAGACTCAATTTGACAACAGGGTGCTTGCCAAGAGTCCTCACAGCGATTCAGCTGCCAAAGAGCAACCTCCTTCAACCAGCCGATATTCAGGACAAGTTTCCATCACTGGGTCTGTCGATCTGAACCTGGATAGAGATCGTAACTGCTTCCCTCAGGGCTCTGTTCTCGGGATGTCGCAAGCCGTAAACCAGTCAACCGAATCCCCCGGAAATCCGGTTGGGGGAAACACCCTGCCCAGTTCTGCTGCATCCCAAGACCTTCTAACAGGCTAACCCGCCCGATCTGCTTAAGTGCCAGGTTGTATACGAACTCTTGAGAAGAAAATAATATTGAATCCACTTAAAATTGTGACGGCGTGGATTGCCTCCTCATGTGAACTTTTTGCATTTATCTCTCATGAGGCAATTCCCAAGTTCTTCTCTCTCCTCTCTTTGATGTGGGATGAGAACTGCTGTCGAAAACCGCAAGTTCTATTCAGTAATTCTTCCTCTTGATGAAGAATGCGGATGCCAATGAGATCGTGTTTTCTGCCGTTGTTCCTCGCTGTAGCGTGCTATGGTCAGGAGCTTTCACAGAGGTCAGCTGGCGACCTCTGTGGTTTTACGGAAGGGAGATGTAAGCTGGATTCTATATTTCCTGGACTTGGTGAAATGCTGCTAAATTTCTGCAAAAGCCGTCCTGCTTGGTAATCTCGCATTTATGATGGCAGGGAAAGTGACAATTCAAGACGGACACAACGAAGCATTCGGTGTTTTAGCCGCCCTCGGAAAATCCTTAAAAGGACCCGTTGCTGATCGATATGGCTGAAGTGAATGAACTGTATTGGCTTGACCTAAACACCACCTTCAACGTCGAAGGTGATATAACCCCGAATACGCTGCACAGAACTAGTATTCCAAACACAGCTCCCTATGAATCCGGAGGTGGATTCTTCGCTGGCGAGAATACCATCTACATATATTCTGGCCTTGGGAATTCAAAAAGATACGATTGGATGTGGTCGTATAACGCAAAGGATGGAATTTGGAGTCGCGCACAAGTTGATGGGGGGAAATTGAATTTAGATGAACGGTTTGGTGGGCTTTCAGCTGTCGCACCAGAATCCAATCTTTCCTTCTTTACAGGAGGTTGGGATATGCCCATTACCGGAACTTTGGTTTTCAACTCGACGGACGGTGCCAATCTTCAGTGGACGAACGTGACCAAAGTAGAGGGTGATGACGCTGTCGGAGAACCTCGGATAGCCAATGGTGGAATGGATTATATACGCCTCGGAAAGAAAGGAATCTTGGTTGCATTCGGTGGCTATGATGTATGCCCCAGTTTTCCACCACGTGTGTTGTCCCTGCACCAAGCTAACACTCTAGATAGACTTCCAAAAACGGAACTGGTCAGACCGAAACAACCCAAGATCTAAGGCCGATGGACAAGATCGGCGTGTATGATATCGACTCCAGCACATGGTGCGTGGACTGGACCAGAATTTCCCGATGCACATCTAACTTGTAGAGACTGACTAGTTCAATAGGTACGAAGTCGAAGCAACTGGCGATATTCCAACACCAAGAACAGCATTCTGAACAGCATTCTGCACAGCTGTCTCTTCTGCACCTGATGACTCGTCCTTTCAGGTGTTGAACGGCGGTCGCAGTCGTCTGAAAACGAACGCAACTTCGTATGATGACCTGTACATTTTGACACTACCATCCTTCCGCTGGATACAAGTTCCCACCACTGGTGCGAAACCATGGACGGCGGCTGGAGTCGGCTGCGACAGCCACAAATGCATTTCCTGGAAGGACGGGGAGATGATAGTTCTCGGAGGAACAACTCGACAAAACGACACCGTGCAAAAGGGATGTAGCAGGGATCATCCGCCTATTCGAGTCCTCAACACCAGCAAGTTTCGGTGGGAAAAGCAATTTGAGCGGGAAACAAAATATTCGGTTCCTGGCCTAGTGTCTGATGTGGTGGGCGGAGAGTATGTTTCTCGCCGTTGCCCGCATATGTGCGCTGTATTGTCTGCCATACTAACGTGTTTTTTCCACATCCAGTTCAACTGGAAAGGAGGCTACTCTAAAAGAACCGGAAGGCGGTTGGGGCAATAAAAAATTACACAGCATCTTCTCTCAGACTGTAGCAAGACGCCCTGACGTAAATGAAGTGCCATTACCCTCAGAACCAACGTCCACACAAAATTCATCCGCACAACCAACCGGGCCTCCTCCACCAAAGTCTTCTAACACAGGCACAATTACAGGTGGAGTTATAGGTGGCGTTGCAGGACTCGCCATCATCGGAGCTATTGTTTTCTTCACAAAACGAAGGAAACAGAGTCATCGCAGAATTAGCAACCAATTTAACGCCACTCACGCCGTTCCCACTGCTCCCTCTGTTCACTATCCTGAACCTCAGCGCGAACTGTCTCCAACCGATACAAAGAATATCTCATTCATGTACCTCCAACAAGAACCCAGAGAGCTTCCAGGAAACGCCGTTGCACCTCCCTGCTACGAACTGGCATCCACTATCGATCCATATCGTGGCCAGGCGGTATTTGAACTTGAATCACCTGTCCAGCCTCCTTCGTTGCCTCTCAAAGATTAACCAACTCCTTCACATGCATCCCCGCACTTTAAATATCTGGTTATCGCCGCTCTGCACTCAACCCCTCTTCCCTCGTTGATCCTCTATGCGGCGTTTTCCTCTCCGTATTTTATTTTATCAATCCCCTTGCTGGCTCTGTTCCCATTCGAACTGAAGGTAATCGTCGTATGGAGTACGGAGCAAAGATATCATTATGTAATATTATAGTTACCCTAACGCGAAGTCTGCTTAGGATGTATACTAGGAAAGCATGTTCTCCCATGTCATTCTCCAAACCTCTTTTTTCTATACATATTAGCTTTACATAATACATATTCTATTCTCTCTATTCTCTAGTGACTAGGCGTTCATGGCAAAAGAAACCTACAAATGATTGTTGAACTATTGATGCTTTTTTTTTTCTCTCTTCGAGTTGGGGCTCTCAGTACATGATGTATCAGGAATGAACTTATTCATAAAGTAAACCGTTTTTTTCTATAACAGGGGGATTTACAACTGAACTCTGACGCAAGGAATTGTCCTTAAGTGCTCCACACTCTTCACCTCAGTTAAAATTAACATTTAGCTGCATATGCACATTTTGCGTGTTGCATCTTCTATTAACACGCACCACCCCATGCCCATTTCAACATCATAGTACTCAAGAAGTCAAGATAAGAATTAGATGTAGAATTAGGGGAGCTAGAGTTAGCTGAACGAGAAGAAGAAGGTCAAAAATTAAAATGAAATAAAGTAAAATAGAATAAAAAAATAAAATAAAAAATAAAATAAAAAGGGCCTGATAACTTGAGAAAAGGGTGAATACGCGTAAACAATAACCTTAATGATGTATAACTACGAGTAAGGGCAAATGAATACGTATTGCGTGTTAAGTTTATGAAAATTCAATTCTGTCCGTAATCGGCATCGGCTGAAGGTTTCTCTGGCTGAAAATTGAAGAATTAGTTAATGATCAATTATCTCAAGCCACACTTAACACTATCTTGAAGATCAGCCAAAGTCAACTTTGAAAATTGTCTGTCCGCTCCAGCTAAGCCAGTCCAAGCATAGCTGAGCTGCAGCGAATTAGATATCAGGAATTACGTTTGTGTCATACAATGGAACAATGGATTTGTATCGTGTCTGCTTAAATTCTATTCATTGGGGTTGAGATGTTGTTCGGTTCCTCTCCACCGGGAGCATTATTGACCTCCACTGGGCAATAATGGGTAAGCTAGTCAAAAGCAACGTCAATTGAAATGTAGTTATCCATCACCGACATGGATTTCGACAAGGACCGATATCATAACATGATCTTGAAGAAATCCATGGCATTTTCAGGCTCATTTGGCATAATACATGTATCTTCCAAGATTATGGTTTCGTGCTGTCATTGCCGTCATTGCCGCTTTCGGGTTCACTCTGCTTATCTTTGAATAATAATTATTGGGGGTTGGAGTCGATTTTGTGAGCGTAAATCAGGCTTCGATAAACTATCATCGTGGCGCGGCTGGCGCACCTTGGTATTGGGGCGTGGTGGAAGCTGCATCCACGCCAGATGGCTGCATTTCATCATCGTGCTAGCCAAGCCCTTCCAAACACATTGCATTAATAGGGAGCGTCGATGAAGCCAATCCATAGCTCCCTTCCGAAGATCTAACGGCATGGTTTGGGGATGAGTTGTCGTGGTGTGTGGCGCGTGGGTAACGTAAAAATTTCAGTATGCAGCTGGACGTACGCAAGACGTATCTCGACTCTAGAAGGGAGTCAATTATATGCATTCGCGAGATGGCTAAGAACTTTAGAGAGAAGAAACATTCGCAATCTGTTGGGTGAAAGCCTAAACCTAGGAATTAATGAAGCAAAAAGTCGGTCTGGCCCAGGAGAACGTGTCTCTTGCCCATATGTTGAGGTTGGTGAGAGTTGGTTCTAACGTTTCTTAAATTTTCAACATATTTGGCAATAGCCTTGGGAACTTGGGTGCTGGGTTGCGATTGGAACGGCGCGTCGAAGTGTGGAATTAGTTGACGACAGAAAAATATAAGTCCCGAGAATTAGAACATAGATAATAAATAAGGCAGAACCGGCGGCTGCTAGGGTGCATCGAAGCAATAAGCAGATTGAAGACCACTTGTCTCAAAGCGTGATAAGTCTTCGGCACCCTTGAATGTGGCATTGCAGAGTTTCATATCCTCGCGAATATTTCGTCAGAAATTCAGAGATATTGAAAATTTAAAACATGTATGGTTTCCCCAGCTTTTCGCCACGTGAAAATGGTTTATGAATGTTTAACAAAAGATAGATATTTCTGGACTTGGATTTGAGCAACGATCTCCAAGGTTACGCGGAGAGATTTCAACATGATGGGTGTTGACAGACCGTATTTGCCAAAACCGGAGACTCATGTCAGTACAATTTAACGGTCCACCGGCGGACAAGTCCATTTGCTGACTCCTTCTGCGCGCAGTGTGGTGATGGACGGGAGGTCGAATTGCTTCATTATATATACAGTTTACCAAATCTTGAAGAACTCCGTGGATCTCCGTCAAAGATCGTGGAGGCCATTGATCAATATGGAAGGGATAATTATTACCTTATGAATGTCGGCTCAATTAAAGGACCCATTATTACCTCCTTGATAGCTGCAGTCAAACCGCAGGTTATGGTCGAGCTAGGTGGCTATGTGGGATATTCTGCCATTTTGTTCGGGGATGCAGTTCGAAAGGCCGGGGGGAAGAGATACTACAGTTTGGAGAAGGACCCTGTATTCGGAGCAGTCTCCACATTGCTGCTGAACCTGGCTGGGCTTGGTGATTTTGTCCAGGTCATTATCGGGCCCAGCGATATATCCCTTTACAATCTGCACAGAAGTGGCACCATAAATCGGATTGATCTGCTGTTTCTGGACCATTATAAGCCGGCGTACGTGGCCGATTTGAAACTCTGTGAGCAACTTGAAATGATTGTTCCCGGTAGTATCCTAGCAGCAGACAACGTCATATCTCCAGGAAACCCACCATACTTGAAGTATGTGAGGAGCAATGTCGAGGAGAAGAGACATGAAGCCGCATCTAATCCAGCTGCATGCCGAGGTTATGATCTTCGAGGGTTTTCCAAATCAATCATCAATCGCTATGGAATTTCTGGGGAGAAAGCGACGACGGCGGTTAGTATATACGGCAACCCAAATCTGATTTATGAAAGCAGACTGGTAAATAGCTTTGAGCCTACAGGAGAACCTGTAAGTATTCGGTCTCCATGATTAAACATCATCGTTCCCCTCTTGGCCGGTATCAACACCACGGACAGAAAATTCTGACTTGAACGTAATTCTAGGATGGAGTGGAAATAACTCGTTGCATTGGAACTGCAAAGACATCCATCAGCAAACTGTAGAATGACAGGAAGGGCCGGCGACGAAGAGTGGGCAGTTTGCGAATAATATCCAGAATGCGAAGTTTCAGAGGTTTTGTTCGTTGTTTGAATAGATTCTGCAGTCTCGGGTTGAGCTGAGGAGGAAAGATTATGTAATCGTATTCATGAACTGATTAGTTACATCCTGAAATCTATCGTTACAGCTAGTAAATTAAACCAATCTCATCCATCAAATTGGGTGGCCGACTTTCATACCAATTATCTCATCTGAAGATTGTGTCTCATGGATGATTATTTCGGTGGCATGAATCTCATAAAACTGGCACTTCAATTGAAGAGAATAGGAGGACACATACTTGTATATCTCTGTTCCAGGCCTGGTGGTTGAAAGAAAGTAGTTATCTGTTCCCAGCGCTTGGTACAAGGAGTGGGTACTATGGATTATAAGAGCCCCCTCCATTGATTCTTTATATTCAACTCCAACATATCTCGCGCCTCTCTCTGCGCATCATGGCACCAAAAATTTACAATGTGGGCATCATTGGATATGACCTGGTGCCAAGATTTTCCATATCCCTTTCGTCGAGGCTGTCCCAGAATTCAATCTCTATGCTGTGGTTCAGAGAAATCCAAACCCTGCAAACGATGCTGGGAAAGACTATCCTGGCATCCAAAGCTATCGCTCAACAGAAGAGATGGTCAAAGATGCCAGTGTCGATGTCGTGGTTGTGACAACCACTACAGAGACTCATTCCGCCTTCGCTCAATTAGCATTGGAAGCGGAGAAGCATGGTATGCTGTCAGCGGGCTTCTTCGACCAGCACGCATGTACTACTAACTGAATCTCACTCTCTTCAAACTGTTTGGTAGATATTGTGAAAAAGCCGTTTACACCCACTCGCCAAGAAGCATATGAATTGGTTCCCCCCATCGGAGAGCCAGAAGCGTTTAATTTCCGTATATCAGAGTGCGTCTTGGCTGCATATTCCCTACAGCGTTCGGCATCTGGTCACTTCTGACTTGGGCATTTCAATAGATCGCAGATGGGATGCTGGTTTCATTACACTTTCAACATTGGTGACTGATGATTCTCTGGGCCGGATCACTGACTTTGAGGTTCACTTTTACCGACATCTCCCTGAGATACCGACGAAGAGTAGTTGGAAAACAAAACCGATGCCCGGAAATGGCGCCTTATATGATCTTGGAACCCATCTCATCGATCAAGTTGTCTATTTGTTGGGGCTTCCAAAGAAATTGACTGGGTCTGTTGGCTCCCAGAGGGAGGACAACGACTCAGGATACGAAGATTCGTTCACATTGCTTCTCCACTATGATCGAATTTTGGCTACGGTATAAGTCCCGAAGAGAAGCAGTTAAGGTTTTTGGGTTCGCGGAGAAAAAGCAGTTTTAAAAAGGTGTGTGCATAGTGCCATCAAAACTTCTAGTCTTGGAGACAATTGACCTATTAGGCGATAGTATTGTCTTGACATTTAAGAAGATCAACTTAGAGCATGCCCAAGGCCTGGAGATTACGGTTACGGCAAGGAACCAAGTGACAGATATGGGGAGCACGTCAAGTAATAAATTTTCGGCCCTGATATACGTATCATCATGACCATTACATCGACCGTGCACCAACCATGCCAAGGTGTTTTCAATAGTTACAACCAGGGTATATTGAGGAGCGATGTTTGTACCTACCGTTGAGCCTCCTACAATGCAGAATACTACGTCAATTTGCAAGGGCTCTCTCTGGCTGGTGAAGGAGACGTGCCAGTCAGCGCTTCAGAAGCAAGCAGCATCGTCCGGCTAGTTGAACTTGCCAGAGAAAGCTCTAAGCTGGGGAAGACATTGGACATGTAAGCAAAGGTCGAGAAATAGCGTTGTGTAATGTGTATGTTGATGTCGAATTCAAGGTTTTAAAAAAACACAACACCAACCGAAGAAGCACCTCTGTTCCCTTTAAATTCTTATCGCACGATTGCGAACTTCGATGCCTTGTTGAAACCACTTTGTCCCTTTTCACGATGCTGCATATTGTGTGGCCAATACGCATTGATCGACAGAATTCTGCCTATGAAATGTGACTTATCAACTTCTGATCTTCATCTTTTTATTCTACAATCGGTTCGGCACATGCATGCTCTATCCACCAAGTTTTCCCGTAATTACTAGAAAATTCCCCCTTCCTCCCCGGTTCCAAGGTTATTGCCTCCAAAGTTCGCCTCCTCCCCTTCGTTTGCAGGATTCCAAGTATTTCACGTAAGGCTGTCGTGAAAGTGCGGAGTTTAGTGGTTGGAGTTAGGTAGGCTATGAGTTCTCTGTTCCGACCTGGCCCTGATACTCCCTGTGTACTTTCGTCCCGAGGCTTTAGGGCTTAGGCCCATTGTTGTTTTTCTTCTCTATCCCATTAGATCGGATTTGCTGAATGGGTTCTTTATCTGTTTTCCCTTTCAAGCCATTGCATGGGAACTTTTGCTTGGTTCCCGGAACTGAATTGGGCGATGCAGCCGTGAATAGGATCCAACTCCTGTTACTGGATTCCACGTGGAAATATTTGCGATATGTCTTTCATAGTTGGGTTAACCAGCAGAAAGTCCAGAAGCCACGTTCTGTAAAAAGACCAGCTGCTCTCACGCCTTCTTCAGAGCACCCCCTCCCGTTGGTCGGTCCGTGTTCTGCTTCACACTTCACCGAAACAGGGCGACCTGATTAGCTCTCCAAAAAGGAGATTGACGACGACAAAGAAGTGTGACTCTATTTGCTTGCAGGCTGATCCCTGAAACCCCACAGTCCCGACCCGCACTCTGATGGCTGCTAGGTCGCGTGGGGCAGACGTTATGAACAGCGTTTATTCTCATAAGTACTGGGGAAATTGACAAATCCTTTCTCCCTATTCCTTCACCAAAATAATAGTCTCAAGGATGTGATTTCGCATCTATAATGCCGTCACAAACTCCTGCAGATGGAGGACACGAACATTTTTCGTCTAAATCTTTTCTCGCGGGCGACTGGCATGTGTCTTTGATTCTTGGTCTGTCGGGATGTCTCGCTGGCTTCTGCATAGTTGTGGTGTCATTACGATGCTACGCTCGGGGTATGCTTGATAGGCATTTCTGGCATGATGACTATGCCGTATTTTTGGCCATAGTAAGGCTCGAACTATTTTTCGTGCTTAAATATACTGTGGATTAGGGCAAGAAACTAATGGCACTCTCTAGATATGTTCCATTATCGTTCTGGGTTGTCTCATAGGAGAGGTCTACAATGGGCTGGGACAATCTACCTCACTTCTCAGCTCCGAAAACCGCGAATATCTGGCTAAAATAGGATATATACATGCAATATTTGGTACACTCGGAATCAGCGCTGTCAAAATATCCTGCGGCTTTTTTATCCTTAGAACTATCGACAGAGGCAGCATTCAACGTCCAACTAAAATGATGATTGGTATGTTCGAGAGCTAAAGTCCGAATCATTTATACGTTCTTCAAGAGTTGGAAGACTGATTGAACGCCTGTCAAAGGATTCCTTCTGACTTTCACGGTTATTACCGCAAGCATTGTAATATTCCAATGCGTTCCAGCAGCTGCTCTCTGGGACTCCAATTTAGATCCTAGTGCTCATTGTCTTACGATTCAATCATACACCACTATCGGCCTGGTAACTGATGGTATGTATGCTCGAGTGAACAGTTAACAACACTTTCGAGAGCTAATATTGAAGTAGCCATTAATACCGCAATTGATATAATACTCTCAACTTTACCTCTCCCTCTCTTCTATGATTCTTGCCCCAGCACATATTCCAGAATGGCGTTGATTGGCATCGTTGCTCTTGGATACGTGTATGTCATCTGCCCCTCAGCGTCTATCAAGAGTTGACATATCCAGACAGTGGACTGACAGAATGTTTCAGAGCATGCAGCGCTGCAGTAATAAAAACCGTTTACCGAGTGCGTGTACTCGCAGTGCCTAGTATGTGGCGGTAAGTTTCTGCGACACGCCTTCTTCTTCTCCTGAACGAAACACTGACTAAACTGCCCAACAGTGAAAGTGATTATACACTTTGGAATAAGTATGATTGTCCTTGAAGTATTTCTGTTTTTCCCGTTCCTTGATCCTGTTGCACGTACGACTATTTGAAAATTTAATCGATAACCAAGCTAATTGCTATGTCGTTCTATAGTATCGAACTTCAAATAGGGATTTTAGCGTCCTCTTTACCCATTATATATCCAGTTTTGACAATATTCGTTGTCCGTATCTACAGTCTCCTTAAAACTCCGATATGGCCAACAAACAGCTGCAACACCCGTGCTCACTGCAGAGGCAATGGCTCCTCAAGCCTTCGAATGAATCCAACGTCTCGAGAGAGGCAAAGTCATCCAATACTTCACAGTCACCACCTCAGCAGCAGCACTACGGAACAGTCTAATACCGGACAACATAGATGTCCCTTAAGCTTCTACAGAGTCGAAATCAGCGCATCCAGGCTGTCGGGTTCTCAAAATGTTCTCGAACGAGATGCCATCCTTGCTGGTGTGCCATCCGGGTTTCCAGCCATTGTGAGAACTACAGACATCTATATACAGGTAGAGGATAGAAATGTGGCGGATGAGGAAGACACGGGGATCGCAAATACCGAGTCACAATCGGCTTGCGGGCGATGGAAGCTTCCTTAATATTGATTTAACAATAACTGAGGATTGAATGCCTCGGAACTGGCGTTTTCAGATTTGCAAGCCTACGTTTAAGGACATAGGTACGGGATTCTGGTAGCGTACGTTGATATCATACTCACCTTTCGTTTGCTTCGTTCTTTGTCCTCCCTCTCCTCCTCTTGTATGTATCCTTTGTTTCAGCATATGAATATTATGAGCATATTTTCGTGTCTATATACATTTTTTACACCCCTTGTATTTTTTTCTTTCTTGTTCCTGCAGTTCTTTTGCGAACAGGTACTCTTCTCTGATAACAAACGCTTCTGATGTCATTTCTCCCTTTTTCCTCCTTTCATTCGACGTAACATGTATTCATTTATTTCATCAACACCCTTCTGAAAAGGAATAAAATTTGGTTACCCCTACGTTCAAACAACGAATTCTTGTTTTGCTATAGTTTTCCTTTCCATTATCCGCCAGGCAATTACTGGCTCACTCCAACTTCGATCCCAACAAAAAGGGGAAAGTATTTAATATTTAGAGAAATTTAACAAACCAGACTGTTTCTGCTACTATTCCCATGCTCTTTAATTGGTCCATGAGGTTCCATATTATCAAGAGGGTCAAAATCTGGGTTACTTGCTCCCGGGAGGTTGCGGGACCTAAATTCTAACCTTATATTTAAGTTCCATTTAAACGTCAAACAATGAAAACTGAGCAAGGCGATGATCGACATCGAGCCATACATGCATGACTACCTGTGTAATATTGTTTGAGGATAATCTTTCCTTTTTGTACTGTAAGTTTTGTTAGCTGCAGAGCTCTTGGACTCAATTCCAAGGATTTTGTTCGGTTAAAGACATGTGCACGCTCATTGAAAACTGATCGAGATGAACCCCTATTCATAGATTGATAGGAATGGCACTAGACCAATCGCTTCGAGGATCTCTGGGCTGTTGCTCGCATGTGTGAACGCCGTATGGAGTAGGAAGATTACATTTCTGAGGACCAATTTTATGGGTTTACGTACAGAGAGGGGATTTGCATCATTATCCAATTAAATAACTGGAAGATCTTCAGTAATTGTTCTGGTACACTGGTATCTACCTGGGCATGAACTGTACATATCTGCTGTTTATTCCCCATCATGTCTCAGCCGGACGAGAGTAGAAAGGGAGGTCGGGCTCGAAAAAAACATGAAACTCTAACAGTCGTCAAAATCAATAACATCACCCAGGCAATCTTCCCGGAACTCAATGTGGAACTCCGCACCCTTATAAAATGCTTCTGAATAAACAACAATGATAAATAAGTGAAAGGGTAATCTATGTCGGAGCTCCTAGATACTGGTGGCTGAGTGGATAGACAAGCAGTGGGATCAAACTCTAGAGAAGAGTGGGGGGCATAATTTCTGCTGGAACCGGACACCCCCAAATCCACAACAAATCAGCTCTTAATTTCCATCAATTGGATACGCATCTGAGTCAGGATTCCGCAACAACAAGCAGATGTACAGCGCAAATATCTTGCTCGCTGCCGTCACCACAGCTTGCACAAATACCCACACTGCGAGCTCTGCGACTGTTACCGCCATTATCGACGTGAATACGAGGGTGCCCGCGATATAATAGACGCCCCAAGCCAGCTGAACTGGCCAAGCTTCTTCTGCACCCTGAATCGCAGAGACACTACCAGTCGACACCAGATCGGACCCTCCCTTGCATCGTCTCCGCCGGATCGCAAAGAGCGCATGAATAATCGCCGGAAATATCCCGACGATACACCAAGTAAGTGTAAACACAGGGTACACGCAACCCAGGGAGCTGCGTTTAGAATATATTTCCACCACCGCCAACATCCCGTACGACAGCAATAGTATCAAAAAACTCGTGCCCACACGTAAAATCGTTGAGATGCGCCAGCGCGTTCCAACATTGGCGAATAAATATCCCTGCATCCACTGCATGTATCTTTGCACCTGGTCGCTTTCAAGTTCTCCTTCGACGGCTGGTTCGAGCCCCAACGCTCGGACGAGGACGGCAGCGGCAAATGGCAAGGGCGCGGATACAAGGGCTATACGCCTCTCGGGCCAGGCGACGTCCTTGAGAGTGAGGGGAATTAAACCCATGATCAATGCGGTGGCGCCGAATTGCTGTTTACGTGCTTCGTCGGCTAGTTGAAGAGTGCAGATTGAGGTTTGCCAACAGAGTTGGCTGCTGCCCCTGTAAAAATAGAACCATGGCTTGAATGGCGAGTAGACGATATTTTCCGCTGGGGGGCAGATTGTGTCATTCGTGAGTTTTTGGCCCGAAGAGAATGTGAGGCATAAGCAAAGGAGGAGAGAAAGCGGAAGGATATGGAATCTTTGACGCATTGTAGTTATCTATTTATTCCTTCCAGCCTCTCGATATATTTCTTCTTAGCGGGCGGGCTTAGAGGTTTGAATTTCGGGTTCGAGGTGCGGAGTAATACAGTCGAAAATTGAAAACTATTTTCTTTCTGGCAGAAGGAAAAAGAGTTTTTCTAAAAAAAGATTGCACTCTTCAGTTGAATAGGGGATGGAAGGATGGATTGTAGAGAAGTGGAGTGTGACTAAACGTAGGATTCAATTGGCGTCAATTAGTTTTTAACCCATAGTTATTCAAAAATGCTGCATTTGACATCTCAGAGCGCCGGCTATTATTTTCCGGGTGCCCAATGACTGTAAATGGTCATCATTTGTTAACCATCCGTCTATTGAAAACAACTTTGGCGATTCTCAGTGACTGGATACGCGCTTCTTCATCAATGCTCTCCCCTAGAAGGTTCGGTGGAACATTCCCGTGGACAGGCGCTAGAGCGGGGGACATCAAATAGCGTCCGCTAGGCTTGGTAAAGTGAAAAGAGTCTGGGATTCGGCGAAGTATGATTTGGCGCATGAATGGACACCCCGAAGGCAGCTGAAGGGGTCGTTGGCGAGACCGTGATTCGGAATTCTCTATTAACGACCTCGAAACCTCGAAAGACATCAATAAGGTCCATATTCTTTCCTGGGAGTATCAATTGAATTCGTAGACTTGCTCATGTTTCAAGTGTGATTAGCCAGCGCTATAGGGGACCCTCTGTGGAGCGCGTTCTTGTTGGGGTAAATGCTTCTTTAGAATGTCTGAATTCATCAATTCATCAATCACTTTTCCAGGGTCCCTCGGGAACTAGATAGCGGCTGCTTCAAAGTCCTGTGTAAAATGATCAGGGGTTGGAAGCTCATGCACTCTCTCCCCTTGTATTCAAGAAATATAACAGTCCTTCACCTGTGTGGAGAGTTGAAGTGCACTGATGTATTGAATAAAAATCAAGCATTCTGGTTGTTCTATCAAAATTGCTAATATGATACTCTCATCAACCCCAGAGCTTGCGGGAAAATGCTTAATTTGTAGAGGGTAGATAAGTGTAGTTCATGAGAGAAGTTGAAGAAGAAGATGGGCGAGCTGCCTCTGGGGATAGATAGGTATATCCGATATTTTCAACGCAAATTAGCTGGGACCTAAGAGGATTGTATCCAAGTATTCGATTGTTTCATGTAGTTACTACCAACCAACCTTAGAAGCAATCGTGGTGAAACGTCGTTTTTCAGCTCTACCAAAAAGGGACTCGAGGTTTAGGGATAAAGCGGGACGGACGTTTGGGTGAATTACTCATAGCGGTTTGGAAGTTTGCCGCCCTTGGAACTCCAGACCATGCAATGGTCGTTCCGTGGGAGGTTTATTGTAGCAAATGAAAGGTGAGAACACGCCACTAGCTTTTGCAGCCCAAAACAAGAAGCTCAGCAAATCATCGTCTGACCAAGTCTTCCGATTCCTACAAATTATGTTATCTCAACCAGTCGGGTGAAAATGCTGATAATCTGCAAAATCGACGCCTCACACGAGATTGCAAGCCGGCTGTTAACTTGAGTTCTGAAAATCATTCTGAGATCAACCATCAGGCGAATGACGACCAAGACGTTTTCCGGATATTTTTGAGATTTCCAACTCCTCCGTAGAAGAGAGACTGCTCAGGCGGGGTTGAGTTATCGCATGGCTCGTGCTTCGTCCATTGGCTATAACTAGCTGGTAGTTCGAGCGAAACGGATTGTCTGTGATAGGTAAAACCTGCCTTGTTGGCACCAGAATTTCTTCTTTCATCCGTCATGTTTTCTGCTGCATCGCCTCCGTCTCCCATTGTTGAGAAGATTCTGTCGTGCCACTCAAAGCCAAGAAAATTGGATAGTTAACCTTTCTCCACTGCGTGTGCTTTGGGGTTGGGCGATCCCCGCGAAGTCTCCCCGTCTGCCGTAGTGGTTAAGGAACGGTACAATCTCCTTCCGCGAACATCCACGCGAAGCAGAAGATCAAAACTTCGGGAGTAAAGGAAGGGGAAAGTTTCCACATCTTCCTTCGATGGATAACCACACAACAAAAACCTGTGCTAGGGATTTCAGAGTTTTTTTTTTGATTAACTACCCCACCAAAAATTAGAATGCGCTCTCCAGACTAAATAACTGGCTGAGATTGAACCCGTCATTGTTTTAGTGACAACCTTTGCGGTACATTGGACGGGCTATTTGCCCACAAGTAGTATGGCATGATGCCAACTGAACGGACAACACAAAATTTCTAAGGTTAGGTAATTAATAACATGATTTGTAGTTGGGTATCGACGCACCGAAGAATGAATGCATGTATAATACATACCAAGAAGTTTTTTTTTTCCCGGTTGTCACTCCGCGGGCTGGTTTCTATCTCCAGAAAGGTTGAAGTTGAGTGTCAAGTTGGAGAAAGTTACCATTTTGCACATTCAGTCCGCGGAGAAACCATGTCCCTCTCCACGCAAAATAAATAGTTGCAACATGGCCAACCCGCAGTCGGCCGAAGGTAACTACTGTGCAAGACGCATATTGAGGAGAACTTATTTCAACGTCCGGTATCCTGACTATTTCTTCGGCATGAATAGCGACCGTTTGAGACGACTCCCGTGTTGATCTGACCCGTTAGCTGGCTTGTCTTTCGTTCTCCTCTTTCCCCTCATTCGTATGGAACTAGTTTTATGTAGAACCTGTCGACAGCCCCTCGAAAGCATCATGTATTGTGAATGTACTGTGATTCAATCCAAGTTTCTCCGGGAACTTAATTAGACCCTTTCTATTTTCTTGTTTTTCATTTTAATTTCCCCTCTCCATTCCTATCATTTCAGATATCGCTTTCGGTCAGTTTGAATCCCTGGTTCAGATGCCTTTATTCAACACGTACAGTTGGGATCTTGATGTGGACAAATTTCTCAATCGTTACGTCCCCTATCCTCGATGGCATCTTCTGCCCCGCCCCGTTGCACATTTCCTAGGCTATAGGTCACGACCACCCAAAAACTCTGGAAATGTCCTCGTCATGCTCTGGTCGATGCTAGGGGTGTTCTGTGGACTGCTGATCGTCGCCGCAGCAACAATGAATATTCCCGTGTTCCAGCAATACGGCCGTTTCACCATCATTAGCAGCTTCGTGAGTCGATGACCCGTATGAACGACATGAATATTGTTTTTGCCCCATTCCAGTTTCCTGCTTTTTATCTGCATTTGTTTCCTCTACATAAATGTTACCATGGGGGGAAATGAAAGATGACCCTCCAGTGTATTCTTCAAAAACACGGTGTTAACGAGTATATATATATATAGGGTGCCGCCGCTGTGCTTGAATACTGCACTATAGAATCCCCTCTCGCGCAGCCTCGAAATGCAATGCTTGGTCATGTCATCGCATCAGCTATAGCAGTTGGGATCTCTAAATTGTTCGCAATGCATCCAAATGGGGAGGATCTGTGTTGGCTATCTGGGCCCCTAGCATGTGCAGTCGCCGTTGCCGCTATGGTATTCACCAAGACAGTCCACCCACCGGCCGGAGCCACTGCATTACTGGCATCGGTAGATGTGGGAACCAGACGCCTCGGTTGGCAGCTCATTCCTCTCGTCATTCTCAGTTCCTCTCTCGTCTTGGCCACAGCTCTGCTGTTCAACAACATCCACAGAAGATTTCCACTGTACTGGTGGACACCAGAAGATCTCAAACCCACGGAAGCCACCGAGAAGACAGATATGGAGACAGCATCTTCCGACGATGACGAACACATACCAAAGGAGAGCACCATCGACGGACAGATTCGTAAGGACCATATGATAATGATCCAGCGTGGGCGAGTGACGGTGTCTGACGGTCTCTTTCTCTCTTCTGAAGAACTCCAGCTTTTAGACCATTTGAGCAGGCGGATATAGATGAAAAACATAAGAGTTAGTAATAGATGGTTTATGACGTGCAATTCAGTGAGCAACGGGGTTACCGGTGAACTCAATGGCCTGAATAGGGCAGTACAGATTTAACGTGAATCACTCATCAGCACTGTCAACTCAATTCGTCATATGCGTAGCCATCACTTCCGGCTTTTGACGCCGTAAGATATGCCCCAGAACCAAGAAAGGGGGAATGCCCGCCTGTCTCGGGCTTTTAACCCGCGCAAACAGCCATGCCGATTGCTGAAAATTAGGATGCTCTGCAGTCTCCTCCCCCTGGCAATTAACCTACTCTGCCACCAGATGACTTCGATATTGAATTTCCCAGTCATGTAACTACGTCCTCTTCAGCTCTTCAGGAGTGCCGGAAGACAAAACCTGCCGTTGGGACATGTATTCGATCACGTGATCATCACTCTAACAAAGGGCCGAAATTGCGAAGCGTGGCGTCTTACCTAATCCGCGTCATTCTTAAGCTGAGTTTACATAATTCGGGGCTCTGCAAAATTTCGACTTTGCTCTTCAAGCATCCACCAGAGCTCTCTCTCCCCTCTCTCTTATTTCTGGTTTTCTTTTAACGGAGTTTCCTATCGAGTATTCGACTCGCCTCTCCTTGTGTGAGGGGCTCCCGTTTTTCTGTTTTCTAAACGTCATTCATATCTGTTTTGTTAAGCTAGACTATTCATCCCACTGTTAGGGCTATTTTCTATCGTCGATAAAAGGCCAAAACGCCCCTCTCAACCCTCCTCCCCTTATTTTGCCCTTTCGAATCGCGTTTATTTCCGCCTCTTTCTCAACGTCAACTTATAGACTATCATACGTTCTACTTCGTTTTGTAGAGCGCAGTTAGAAATATTGCTGACGTTATTGTCCGACACTTTCTTTTTTAGAGGAAAATCAGGAAATATTAATGCCTTGGTTTGAAATCGGGAACAGCGGAAAAGAAATTTGGAAAAAGCAACCAGAAGGGGAAAGACTGCAAAAATGGTGTCGGCATCAAAAGCAGCCCGTCAGGCCAAACGTGCCGCAGAAGGAAAGGATGAGAAGAAGAAATCAGCCACATCGAGACTTTCGTCCAAGGTCAACTCAAAGAATCCCTCGCAAGCATCGTCGGTGAATGGGGACGAAGAATACTTCCCGGAAGAGTCAGCAACAAGTGCGTCCAAAATGGACGATGTCAAGAAGTTGACCTCCCAAGTGGATAAGTTTGGCCTTTCGGATCGAGTGACGACTGGCGTCCTTGCTTCTCTTCCCGCTAGCCGAGATGTTAAGATCAACTCCGTCTCCCTCGTGTTCCACGGCCGAGTTCTGATTACCGACACCACCCTTGAACTTAACTACGGTCGACGGTACGGTCTGTTGGGTGAAAACGGTTGCGGAAAATCCACATTGATGAAGGCAATTGACAAGCGAGAGTACCCAATTCCCGAGCACATCGACATCTATCTCCTGAATGAGGGTGCCCCACCAAGCGACTTGGGGGCCCTTGAGTGGGTTGTTAAGGAGGCAGAGAACGAGATGGCGAGATTGGATAAATTAGCGGAAGAAATCTTGGAAAAAGAGGGACCTGAGAGCCCTATCCTTGAGGATCTGTACGAGGTAGGGTTCATAAATATTCCGTTACTTTGCTCTCCCGGCAACGAGGACTAACTCTTATCAGCGCATGGAAAACATGGACCCTTCAACTTTCCACACAAGAGCAGCGCTCATTTTAACTGGTCTGGGTTTCAATAAAAGTACCATCCAGAAAAAGACAAAGGATATGTCCGGAGGATGGAGAATGCGTGTAGCTTTGGGCAAGGCTCTCTTCGTCAAACCCTCTCTACTTCTCCTGGACGATCCCACAGCCCATCTTGACCTCGAAGCTTGCGTGTGGTTGGAGGAGTACCTGAAGAAATGGGACCGCACACTCGTCCTCGTTTCTCACAGTATGGATTTCTTGAACGGAGTTTGCACGAACATGATTGACATGCGTCAAAACAAGTTGATATACTATGGTGGTAACTATGACGTTTACCACAAAGTCCGCTCCGACCAGGAAGTCAACCAGATGAAGGCCTATCACAAGCAACAAGAAGAAATCGCCCACATCAAGAAATTCATCGCCTCTGCTGGTACATATGCAAATCTTGTTCGACAAGCCAAATCCCGCCAGAAGATCCTCGACAAGATGGAGGCAGATGGCTTCATCCAACCTGTCGTCCCCGATAAAATCTTCACTTTCCGCTTTGGAGACGTCGAAAAACTCCCACCCCCTGTTCTTTCTTTCGATGACGTTACATTCTCCTACAGCGGAAAGCAAGAGGACAACCTCTACGAGCATCTAGACTTTGGTGTGGATATGGACTCCCGAACCGCCCTCGTCGGACCAAACGGTGTTGGCAAATCCACTCTCCTCCGCATCATGACTGGCAAACTTAACCCCACAGGCGGCAGAGTCTCACGGCATACCCACTTAAAGCTCGGAATGTACAGCCAGCACTCCGCAGAGCAACTCGATCTGACAAAGTCCGCTCTTGAATTCGTACGCGACAAGTATCCAGAGAAAAGTCAGGATTATCAATACTGGCGCCAGCAACTGGGCCGGTACGGATTGACTGGTGAGGCGCAAACCGCCCTCATGGGAACTTTGTCCGAAGGCCAGAAGAGCAGAATTGTCTTCGCATTGCTGGCAATTGAGGGACCTAACATGCTGCTTCTGGACGAACCGACTAACGGTCTGGACATTCCTACAATTGACAGCTTGGCTGATGCCATCAATGCATTCAGCGGTGGTGTTGTGGTCGTTTCTCACGATTTCAGGTTCGCAATTTTTTATGGACCCCATTTAAGCTAAAACCATGGTGTTCAATATCACAGCTAACATGTTTCTAATACAGACTCCTTGACAAAATCGCTAAGGACATCATGGTCTGTGAAAACAAGACCGTCCGCCGATGGGATGGCTCTATCGGAGAGTACAAGGCCCATCTACGAAAAAAGATGCTGTCTGCCGGACAAGTCTAGATTCCGTTAATTATTTTCACCTTTCTTCGCATATTTTTCTTCTGCCTATCCGTTAGAAGTAGCTATTCCACGTCTCTAGTTTTACATACTTTTACAAGCCTGTTGCGCACACGACGAAAATGTTATGCAAAAGATTCTTTTCCCTCTTAAACGTTAATGGGCCGAAAGAATTCTAATCCTCCCCAGGTTTATTTTGTTCGTTTTTCCTTCCCCTGAGTGTTATAGGCTTTCTTGTGTTCTGTTCGTGTTGTTCTTCAAATTCCTCCCTGAGCAGAAAAGTATACGCATCCGCACAGTAGAATTTTGATTATTCTCCCCATCATATCTCTTTTATCTTCTCTGCTTTTGACCTACACATTTCCATGGATATAAAAGGAGGACCACATTAGCTATGTGGCAAGTGCAAAAACGAATTTCTTCAGATCTAGTTAAAAGGAAAAAGTTACTCGACTATAGATTCCTTGATTTCTTCTGCTTAAAACTTGTTAAAACTCAGCCATTATATTGTGCTCGACCGGATGCAGCTGTTAGCTTCCCCGCTTCCTCAGCCGTTGTTATCGCCATGCAAGAATTGTTGTCTTAAAAGGTATACGGGTAACGGGGATGCCCATTCATTCCTAGCCCTGGTACTTTTTACCTAAAACTAAGATCGTTATAGGATAAGCAGCGGATCAGCCCTGCCAAGGGTCAGGCAGGCTTAAGACGCGAACTAAAGAAATGGGATAATTATCAAGGCTGCAACTAGTGACATCTTTGAGTGCTGCCTAAAATTATTCTCCTAGCTTTTCTGAAGTGTTTATCCAAGTACATATATCGTTATATTTCTTCGTTCATTTCCAAGGTGAATAGCTCAAACATCCATCAATACAGAGTACTTCTTTCTCGCTTCACTTGTTATTGGTAAGCGTCCCTTTTGAAACAGAGGCTGTCAGCATCTAGAAATCTTTCACCATGACCACTGCAGCTGTTTTCGGCTGTACAGGGCAATCGGGCTCTCAGATCTTAGCCACTCTCCTCGCGTCAGACGCCTTCTCATCCGTCAAGACTATCTCAAGGAGACTCCCGAATGTCCAATCTTCAAAGCTCCAAGCCCTCCATGAAGTCGACACCTCGAAATGGGGAGGAATGATCTCATCCCTTTCTCCCCGGCCATCAGTGGTCTTCAACGCGGTCGGCACCCAAAGATCCAAAGCCGGCAGTCTCAATAATCAGTGGAAGATCGACCATGATTTATGCATAGAGAATGCCAAAGCAGCCAAGGACGCGGGGGTGACGACATATGTGTTCATATCCGTTGATGTTCCCAGCAGCTTTCTCTCTATGTTCGTTCCCTACTGGAAGATGAAGCTTGGAGTAGAGAATGCCATCAAGGAGCTCGAGTTCGAGCATGCTATTATCGTGAGGCCAGGTATGCTCATTGGAAATGGGGAGCCTAAAGCTCCGTTCTTGGAGCATTATATCTTTGGCCAGCTGAACAAGCTGGGACAAGGCATCCAGGACAGATTCGGTATGAGGAAAAAAGCAACCTAGTCAATTGTTGTTCGTGTTTCGAGACCATATGCTTACCTGTTCCATATAGCTCAGCATGAAGCCGTTGTTGGCAGAGCAGTTGTATCAGCCGCTCGTATGGCTGAAGAGGGAAAAGCACCGTCGAAATATTGGATTCTCAAACCGCTCGAAATCGTCAGGCTTGGGAGAGACGAATGGAAGGGGTAATACACTATGATCCCCACCGGAGTCATTTTTGGGACGCTCTGTTGTTAATACTTACCTGATATATCCCGAGGCCATGGTACGAGATGGTTGCAGGCTGCACAGATAGAAAAACCTCGTGCTTTTGATACAAATTCTTATTTCGATTGCCTAGGGGTTTAGACGGGGTCAACCCGGCAACGAGGTTGCAGGATGGATTAAGATGTGTTATTTGGTGAGTACTTCATGTACTTACTGTACGTGCGTGCGTGCGTGTGAACGATTTGGCTGGGGGAAAAGGGGGTGGGGAAAAGTGAAGGGGGTTTAAGCTTTGGAGGTACGAGGTTGAAGCAGGACAGGAATTGGCGTCTCAGTGTTATCTCTAATGAAGCTTCTGCCAAAAGGTAATAATCGGAGTTTGGAAGATATCTGAAAACCACATTGCTCATATCCGCATCTGGAAGACCCAGCCGGCAATCCGTTCATATCCCAGATGCTCCGAAGACACGCATGTCCATACCAGCCGGAATTGGAATCAGAGAATATTCGAACAATTTTAAAAGTTGTATTGACAGCATATCAAACAGCAGGTTAGAAGTACAATACAAAGGACATTGGGCACATAATGGTATAAACAACAAAACAGGGGCATGAGGAGCGTATGAGAACCGCCATTACACGCTACCAACATACGTGTGGCCAACGCTGACATAGCTAAGCATGAGTGACAGATTGGTCTCTGAAATTTCCCTAAATTGCGAAGGTCACTTACGGAGCCCTTCCCCCTTCCCCCTTCCCCCTTTCCCCTCCCTTCTGCCCCACCAAATAACTCTACACATCCTTAATCCTCTTCCTCTCCTCCATCAAATCCCCTCCAAAGAGAATCCCCCCTTCCTTCTCAAATTTCTCCCTCTCCAGTTTCCGCTTCTTCGCGGCCCGCTGCAGCTCCGCATCCTCCTCACTCCCAACACCAGCACCCGCTTCAGCACTAGCACTAGTGCTAGCATCAACAACAGCATCGGCACCAGCAGTTACATCACCCGCAGCCGCAACAGTGTCCGTATCCACAGGCCCCGAAACGCCTTGCATTGACAAAGCCGCAGAGGAACCCTCCCGCCTCGCGGCGCGACTTAGGCTTTTCAAATCCATCTTCTCCGGATTCTGACAATGGTATAACTTCTTCCCAATACGTTTGAGGTTCTTCATCGTGGCTGGCGTGGTTGCGGGGGTGTGGTTAGTTTGGTAGGTGGAGAGGGAGGTGGAGCAGGAGTCGAGAACGAGAGACAGTTTAGCCCGGAGGGATGCGAACATTTTTGTGGCTGGGGAGTCTAGGCGTGGTTCTGCTGCTGCTGCGTTTGCTGCTACTTGCGGATCGGTTGGGACGAGTTTTGTGTCTATGTAGAATTGGGCTAGTGGTTTATCGACCAGGAGGAGGGCAGAGAGCCAGATTTGAGACGGTGTATAGAGGAAATATACATCCGTCATTTGCGCGGCGGAGCGTAGGATTTCGCGTGCATTATGGTGCGCCTTAGCTAGACGGGAGCTTATGAGAACCTCCTTTGGATTTGGGTTTGCGGGAGATGGAGGAGGGGGTGGAAGTGAGAGTATCGATTGTTGCAGACCGGCGCTCACTTGCTCTGGATGGTATGGCCCTGGAGCCCCGTTGCCATTCGCAATGGCTCCTAATTCCATTATCCCGCCTTCCAGGCTGCGGAATGGGTGGCGGACATCAAATGTGAAGCGCAGTCCCTGAGTGAGGAGATATTCGGGTGCGATGATATCTTCTGGTGTCGAGTTTGGGATGTGCTCTGCAAATGAGCGTAGGGACATGTAGTAATTTTCTGTCTTTGTAGCTAGGAAGAGGGCGCAGGGCATGATGGATTTGGGGTGGTAGGTCATTGGGGAATTGCTGAGATAGAAACGGCGGAGATATTGGATTGCGGTAGCCTTTGCAGCAGATAAATAGAAACATTTCAAGTCATTAGCGCAGACAGCCAATTGGCAAATATGAAGCTGAGGAGCTCCATAAATCACACATCAAGGAGATGATATATCATAAACATACCCTAACAACCGTTGGCAGGGGCGGCTTATACTCATCCCCCAATTCCATGGTCTTCTCGCAATAATACCTCACCAACTCCAGCTCCTCTTCAGGCGTCAAGCACTCAATCTCCCTCTCAGTTTGCTCCCCATTCTTCCCCGCCATCTCTGGTGTTTTATTGCTACTATCATCTGCATCGCCAGCTGGGTTTGGCGTACCGCTCCCCGACCGCGGGGTGGTATGTTTCGCGTCCGTTGTCGACCGCCGTAATGCGGCCCTGACACGCTCACTGGCGACTGCGTTGGTGTTGGCGCGTATTGTGTGGAGGGATTCTTCGGTAAATGACCAGAGGCGGTATTGTGAAGACGTGCGGTAGATCTCGTCTTCGTACATGGTGATGGGGGGATGTGGGGGGAAGCTGGAGCTTTAAGGTTCAGCTTCGGGAGTGAACGTATCTCAGCGAACCTTGGTTTGCAGTTTTATTGTGGATCATGACATCGTTTGGGAGTAGGAAAGGGATATAGAACATGAAGATAGCAATGATTTGAGCTTTGCAGGTGTTTGTTGCAGTTGTTGGGATTTAGTTGTAGGATATGGTCCTTTCAAGGGATGTTGAAGTTGAAAGCGGGAAGAAACAACACAAAAAGATAACTAAGTGCAGTGCCTGATGTCATCGCCCAAAGTGGAAGCATGTTGTATCCAGTCCACGAAGCTTGTTCTCAACACCAGCAGATATGTGCAGTGCAGTACAGCAACCACAAATAGATGTTTACATATAGTGTCTACGAAATATAGCATTTGAGGAAAATGTACTGCAGGTCCAAGCACAAAAATCAAGTCTAATCCCTAATCAATGACACGATAACTAGATAACCGGAAGGTCCATAATGGGATGCGAAATTCTTCATCTTTGCTCCAACGCCCAGGTAATGGGTAAAACGAAATAAATATATAAAAGAAATTCGCCAGGCACCAGGCACCATACGCTTTCCCCCCTCCTCCATCAATTTGCTCCGAGGTTCATTCAGAAGTAATATGGCTGGGAGGGATGAGAATGCTGAATGCATAAAGAATAAACAGGGGAGAAGAAAAAAAGGCGAAGGGAAAGTGGCCAAGAGCAGTAGCAGTATAGAGACAGCGCAGAATGGGAATGGGAAGAAAGAAAGGAAAACACATTATAGTATGTTTAAAACAAAGCATAGGACAGGATTCTGTGGACAGTAGAGAAGAGGAAAAGGCCAGAGCAAGAGACAAGAGGAAAGCTCCATAACAAAGTTAATGGGGAAAGAGAGGGCCAGGGTGAGGTATCCCTAATTTTCCTTCCAATCGTTTACGCATCTCGAAATCGCCTGTATGTTTTATATAAACTAATTCATGGCTCGCCCAGAAGGCGGGCTGTAACGTCACCCATATATGCCTCTTCCAGCTCGTAGTCCTCCCCATCCATCCGGTCAATGCCAACATACTTGAAAGCAGATACCACACGTGGAACATCGAATCCCATATTGCAGAAGCGATCGACGAGATCCTTGTTGTACCCCTCGTATCTACAGAAAGGTTAAAAAGTCAGTATATACGCAGCAACCAACAATTTTTTTTAACAGAACCAAAGACACCAAAAAAATAAGAGTCCATACGCCGCTAGCTGTTCCCGCTCCTCCTCTTCCCTCGACTTCTGCTTCTGATTTCTGATGGATTCATCCGTGGCCCCACCGCTACTCTCGCCCAGCTCTCGCTCGGGGGCACCGGCATATTTAATGGCCCACCTACGCGCATGCCGCTCGAACTCCTTGGGGTTCCGCATGAGCATATTAGCCACCTCTGCGTCTTGTGGGTCCTTGGGTTCGGGTGTGCTGAGGAGGGACTGGAGGGAGAGAAGAGCGGATTTGATGGTGAGAACCGGGGACCAGGCGGTTGAGAGGGTGTCGAGACAGATAGCTCCCTAGATGATAGTGCCGTATCAGCAGATGATAATCCTTCTTCCCGCCTTCATCTCGTCCCTATCCCTTCAACTATCATCAAAGGGGATTCATTGGTTTTTTTTGGGGATAGTTTTATCCGTATGTTTGCTTTCTTTTCTGTGGTAGTTGACTCACAGTTTGACTGCTGACATTCGGATGCCAGACCTTGGTATCGAACTTCATTACCGGAGGGCGGAAAGGGTACTCGTCAGGGATCTTGATATCTACGTAGAACGTCCCGTCCTCATAAGGGGTACCGGGGGGGCCTTGAAATTGGCCCCTCAGGTGTGTCAAATCATCTCCGTCCCCAACCGGCTGAGCAAAGATTTTCGAGTGTCTGTCTGCAGGGGCGTCTTCGCTGATATCCTTGAGTTCCTTGATAATGCGGCGGTTGCGGTGGGAGGTGGACATCGTGGCTGGATGAGCGGGGAGGTGGAGTTGATTCGGGGGGGAGTGAGAGCAAAAAGAAAAGGAAAAAGAAAAGGAAAAGAAGAAGAAAGAAAAAGAAAAAAAAAAAAAAAAGGGCGGTGATTTGAGTTATGGGGTGAGTAGTCGTGGCAGTTGTGGTGATGGTAGTTTCGCAGTGCTTGCTTGCTTGTATTGAGAATAGGTGTGAGGGGTAGAGCAGGAGAAGAGGATACGACGATGCAGTTTTCCCTAGCTTATCAAAAATTAGGGTGCGGGATTGTTTGGGGTCGAAGATCCCGGCAAGGCAGAAATGATCAGTTCTGTTAAATATTCCGTGTTGGGATGGAAGCAGGTCAAGCAGTGGGGAAACTAAACGGATGTTGTTGTGTAGTTGGTTTTGATCTACCCTGTATGCTTGGACCCGCTGGATCAGGTCATTCCAGGTCATTAGAGTTTTATGCAACAAAACACAAGAGAGAGAGGGCAAAGTTAGGTATGGGGGGGAGGGGAATTAATATATGTCGTCGTTGGGCGGGAACAACATACCTTGGAAGCTAGGCGGGACTTTTTTAACTCAGTTCAAACAGGATCGACCAACGGGGGCGGCTGCGCTGGATTGTTCAACACGGACAACAAGTGGCTGAGGATAGCGGCTCGGGTGACGGATGACAGCGTTCCAACACTTGAATGGGTGACTGGGGAGGGTCAAGGCACAGCTCAATAGAGAGTGAGTGAGTCAGGGATCCACCAGGCTGCGGTCGGTGAGTAAATATGGGGTTGAAGACAAGAGTCAAGTCGGGTTTCAAGATGGAGAGACGAGGACGAGGACGATCAACGGAGTTGAACAGGTTAATCTAGAGTAGGATTGGGTAAATGGATCTATCTGTGCTTATTTAATAGATCAATGTTTGTTTGTTGGTAGAATTGGGAATGGATTGCGTGAGATGGAGAAGAGCGTAAGAAGCGATTACGAAGCTGAAAAACAGGCACCATCCAGCGGCGGGTTAAACTAGTTAGTGAAGTTGATGGCATCAACAAACAACCGTATCCATAGTTAACTACCTAGTTAACTATAAACATGAACTTTCAAACACAACAACCACCCCACCCAACCACCACCAATTATTGTCTACTTATTAACTACTATAGGGGCCCTGGTGCTTTCTTGTTTAAATAGTGTCTGGCTCACAAACATCATATATCAACATAATCAAATGTAGTTATGCAAGGTCTATTGTAAGGCCTTGGTCCTCTGGGGCTCAGTTGTTGGAAAGCGATCTTGAAGGGTCCACAGCAGACCACAATAATACAATAATAGTTAATGCAGTTGGCACGCAACAAATCTCTTTCTTTTCCCTCCGATTACCAAGAAGGGAGAGATGAGATCTTGAAATACAGATGGATTTGGAGTCCCTAGATGTGATACGTGCTCCGGGACCCTTCGCCAACAAGCGTTTTTCATCGCATCCCGTAAAATTCCGCCGACTTGTCATGGAAGGGCTGCTGCCACTTCATCCTTGCTGCCTGGGTCCATGGGTGTGGGTGGTCCTTATGCTGTGTGTCAAATCTGCCAGAATCGTTGCCCAGTAGATTGAATCCGTTTCATTCCTTGGTTATGGTGGTATTTTGGGCGGGGGCGGTTTACGACCACTGCTCTCCGGGGACCAATCAAACATCGCCGCTTCACTCAGACCACAATATCCATTGAGTTTATAACGACTTGCTCCGCACCCTTGTTCATGAATTCGACCCGCTACACCCGTCATTATGGGTGTGTCAGCAAACTGTAACCACGCACCCGTCCCGGGCAACTATGGTCTTAAGTTGGATGGCTTCCGCCCATTTTGCAAACTCCCTTCAGAACACATATGCAGGATCTCTCATATTTCCCGAGAGCCATGATCCAACACTCCTTCAATTCCAGCAGTGAGAGGCCGCGAAACCAGAGAAGACGAATAGGAGTGGATATTTCTAAATCGGCGCTCTATTTCGCGGAAAGTCATGGGACAGTCCAGCTTGAAGTTAACTTTAACTCAAACTGACCTTCCCAAACTTTTGTTTCGTTACATTTTCATATGTTTTTATATACATCAGTTTCCATCCCTAGGTCACATGGGTTGGATTATGTAACTTTGTCTATCCCTTGTTTAACCACCTTTTTGGTGTATATTCCCTCTTTATTAGAGACCGTTCTATTCAAGGGCGGAAAACCTGTTGATGTTGAGGATACTCCTCTAGATAGTTCTCCCCACCATCATTTGTATGCCGTTGGTTCAACCTCAGCCTGATTTAGCATTGGTGGGATTCGGAGCGGCTGGTTTAGTATACGAAGTTGGTGACGATGTTGTTTTCAAGACCTGTCAAGTCGAAGAAGTCCCTTCGAGTGATACCTCTGGTGACGATCGACGCTGGAGCGTGCGTGACGCGCCCTTGGGCTTCTTGCTGATATTTGTCGACAGAAATGGCAATTTGGCCCTGCCAGAAATAGGGACCGGTCATCAAGGCATTGATACGATCATTCGAAAAGCATGCTTAGGAGAGGTCAGCTCCAATTCGCAGATGCTAACACATCCTGATTCCATTAACACAGATATGAAACACATTGCTCATGATGTTACTCCACCCCGCCGTCAGTGGAAATCTTAATCAGCCATATAATATCCATTTTCATTCTTCTCACAACATCTACTAGGATGTGTTTACGAGGGCATTTTGTCCGAAGATTAGTTACAAGAGCTAGCTGATGGTTAAGGTCTGAATAAAGGTGAGGGAAGTTGTTTCACCAAGTATTAAATGCCTTTGCAGCCAAAATGAATGTATTAATGAGTGTCAAAGAGCTTCTACGATCATAAGTTAAGAGAATGACTAGAATACTAAAATCTCCTTCCAAGGTTTTACTTTTCCATCCTCCCCCCGGCTCTTCCTGAAAAATCAGTAACGGTCGTCGATAGCTCCGATGTTGGCGATGTTGGCGATGTTTGGACCGCGCGATGAAACAGCGTTGGTTACGGGAGATTCGCCAACTGTCAAACTACAGAAAAATCGACATTATGAACTAACAATCGTATTGTCTCAACGCGGGTATATTCACAGAGGCTACGCGTCCGAGGCTTATCTACAGTTGCCACATGGGCTTCGGATATGGGAGCTCCCCAAATGAACCTACCGCCAAGGCTCGGGATAGCTTTGACCACAGGGCCTGGCGGTCCAAAATTCCTGCGTGTGCCTGCCGGTATGTATCCTTACCGCAACACACATCGTGGGCGACTTGACATTAAAAATCGAAGTGGTAGAATAAGCTGTTAAAGGATGCTGCTGATAATGCTAAGAGGACCTTTTTGCGATTGGATCGAAATTGACACAGCTAAAACGGGACTTGGAAAAGACATTCCAAAGTGGGATGTTTCGCTGCCCTTTTTTATAATCATCTCACAAACAGGCAGATGCCCGAATATTCCTGCACCGCTCTGGCAAGGCAGAGCTTGAAGCAGCCTAAGTTGCAACATTGACAGGGTTTTTGATGAAAGAGTCGCTGTGATCATTCAACAAGCAGCTACCCAAATATTGCGGCACAGCAGCTCCTTCAAGGCAGAGCTCGAGGTGGCATAAGTTGTGACATTTGACAGGGCCTTTGAAAAGAGTAGCGGGGATCATCCAATAGACTTATGGGTATATATGCTGGAACGCTGGAACGCTGGAGCTCTGCTGCCTATATGGTTTATGCGGAGTTTGCCCTTTTTTGCAGGGGATAGAGTGGTGGTTGGCGAGTTTTCGAGTTCGCCCTTTGTCCGATCATTTCCATTTGATATGTGTGAAAGTGGACCTCGGGCAGAAAGCCACATTGGCTTTATCCTTGTAACTTATCGCTTCCACAGTAGTGCCTATCAATTTCTCAACTTTGAACGCTTTATCAATTGTGATAAACGCTGTAACTGGCCCTTAGGTATACGTATATCCAGCTGTAATTCCCCCCTTCTTGGGAAGTTAGGGAGCTCAGGGATTCGCAATTCAATATCACGTGGATTGTCTGATGGTTATTATTTCACGTTTAACCCAATAGGCATGGTTGTTAAATCTTTATATATGAAACTCATGAGAGCAAGTGCTCACAGGGTAAATCTCTTCAGAGATTCATTCTCAAGATTTGCCCAGTGTTAATACTTTCTAGTGCTAATTGAAGTTCTCTTAATTATATAGGTGTATACTTCTCGACGATCTTGGCGCTGCTCTTGTCTGACTAATCAACTTTGGCTCGAACAGCTGCCCCAGTGCGTTAGTTAACTAAAAGGCTGAGTGAGCATCAACATCAACGACGCTGCATATACAGCTCTTCCACACTCCCAACAGATCTCCCTCGTTCCCCTTAATTCTGCTCCTATTTCTTTTTCTTGCTGCTTATCCAGGTCTGCAGCTTTTGGGACCGTTCAAGAAACAGCTTGTCCCTCTACTGATTATCAGTTCTCTCCTTTCTCCATCAATCACCACCCTTGGAAGCAGAAACTCGCCCACATCTTTCCATAATCTTGCCACCATGGTATGTTGACTAGCTCCTAATATTATGTCTATGTCTCCGCGGGTTTGCTTTTGTACTGACCTCTGAAATTTATAGGGAAATCAACAGTCAAATCTAGGTGGTGGTTCTGCCGACAGCAAAGATGACAAGGACAAAAAGGTAAACACCCCTCCCTCACTACAAGTCCATTCATACCCGGTCGGTCACCATTACCTTGAACTAAAGCTAATCCCGGAGCAGAAGGAAAAGCAAAAGTACGAGCCACCCCCACAGCCCACAACCAGAATTGGCCGGAAGAAGCGCAAGCAAGCTGGTCCCAACGCCTCCGCAAAGCTCCCAGCCGTCTACCCAACCTCAAGATGCAAACTGAAATATCTCCGCATGCAACGCATCCACGACCACCTGCTGCTCGAGGAGGAATATGTTGAGAACCAAGAGCGCATTCGCAAGACGAAAGCTCAGGCCTCTGCGTCTCACGCCACCAGCGGTGATCTTGAATCCTTGGATCGAAATGCTGATGAACGCAGCCGCGTGGATGATATGCGAGGTAGCCCCATGGGCGTTGGCAATCTCGAAGAGATGATCGATGATGACCATGCCATCGTCTCCAGCGCGACGGGTCCTGAATATTACGTATCCATCATGTCCTTTGTTGATAAGGATCTGTTGGAACCTGGCGCGAGCATCCTCCTTCACCACAAATCCGTCTCAGTCGTGGGCGTGTTAACGGATGATGCAGACCCTCTCGTCTCAGTCATGAAACTCGACAAAGCGCCTACAGAATCATATGCAGATATAGGCGGACTCGAGTCGCAGATCCAGGAAGTCCGGGAGGCTGTCGAACTACCCCTTCTCCATCCAGAACTCTATGAGGAAATGGGTATCAAACCGCCCAAGGGCGTCATTCTCTACGGTGGGCCTGGGACGGGTAAAACGCTCCTAGCCAAAGCCGTCGCCAATCAAACAAGTGCTACTTTCCTACGAATCGTCGGCAGCGAATTAATCCAGAAGTACTTAGGAGATGGACCCCGCTTAGTCCGGCAGATCTTCCAGGTTGCCGCGGAACATGCCCCATCCATCGTTTTCATTGATGAAATCGACGCCATTGGGACGAAGCGGTACGAGTCTACGTCGGGTGGTGAACGTGAGGTCCAGCGGACTATGTTGGAACTCCTCAACCAGCTCGATGGTTTCGATGACCGCGGTGACGTAAAAGTCATCATGGCCACGAATAAAATTGAGACACTGGACCCAGCGCTGATCCGGCCCGGTCGTATTGATCGGAAGATTCTCTTTGAGAATCCGGATCGTGAGTCTTCTTTCCTTTCCTCTTGCTTTCCCTAACCCCCAACCCCTCTTACCAAGCTCCTCCCCAGCTGCCATATATATTATTCCTCCATTTGCTAACCCCCGACTCTCCACACAGAGAATACCAAGAAAAAAATCTTCACCCTGCACACCTCCAAAATGTCCCTGGGCGACGATGTCGATCTGGACGAGTTCATCAATCAAAAGGACGACCTGTCCGGTGCAGATATCAAAGCTATCTGCTCCGAGGCGGGGCTGATGGCGTTGCGCGAGCGGCGAATGCGTGTGCAGATGGCTGATTTCCGCGCTGCGAGGGAGCGTGTCATGAAGACGAAGAGCGAGGGTGAGCCGGAGGGGCTGTATCTGTAAGATGGATCCTGTATGTAACCTTGGCATGAATTTGTGTAGCTTTTATATTAGGGTTGGTAGACGGGTGCAAATGAGATATTAAAATCATTTTTTCCCCCTCAGTTTATTGTACTTTGGGACCCAACAAAGACTCTCGCTTTTCTTCTTCCCCAAGACACATACTGCTTCTACCTAGTCTTAACACAAGCCTTGGGACGGCCCTTTCAAATGTCAGGGGTAATTCGGGGGTATAATTACTCCATCAAAAAAATTTCACATATATATAGCCAACCCAAAGTGGGTAAATTTAGTTTAACAGGGCGTGGAACGTACCGTTGCTCAAAGCCACCAGGTCATCACACTATCAGCATTCCGACGTTGAGAGTTTTTGAGAGACAGCCTCAGGCCGCCAAGGAGTATACGTCAAGCGCAAAAGGTAATTGATATCGCTCTCCTTATTCGCTTGAAAATTATGAAGTGACCGTCACATGCAGTCCAACGTATGGTTGTCCCCTGATCTCATACGTGCGGTATTTGATGGAGAACTCAAAAAGCAGGAGAGCCATTTCATCTGGGAATGTATAACCACAGTTAACCAGGTGACTATAGTTGACATCAATCATTAATAATAAAAAAAAATTACTAAGTAATGATTCTGTTTCAAAGTGCGATGTTCAGCTGATTTGCCCTGGAAATGGATAATGGTAATTGTTGGATTCTGTTGTCTGGTAGGCATATAGCAACCATTATCGAGCAATTGGTAGAGGATCGCTCATTTGCAAGGACTCCAGGGTGCAGTCCTTGGTCAATGAGAGATAAGTTTGCTGGCCCAAGCTGGCAGCAATCAACCCTCGACTCGATGGATGGATGCATGGAGAACCGACTCAGAATTGTGCTGTTGATGTGTCTTGGGCGCCACCACTCTCAATTTTGGAAACTTCATTGAGATCCATCCCCCTTGTCAGTTGTCTACCCTGAGGAGTTGTGGAAATTAAGTCAGATATGTGGCCATGTCCGTTGTATAGACGGCAACGTCATTTCAGTTTGTCTTTTTCCTGTCCTTCAAATGACTAGTTAACTACTCATCATGAGAGCGCAACTAGTTATCAGTGCAAACACTAGTTAGTTAGATAGTTAACTACCCCTCCGCGTTGACTTTGAAGTTGGGAGATTGATGAATCCTCAACAATTCGAGAGGCAACCTCATCCTGCAAGGCAAGGTACAGTAATGTTCCTGTCAACTCCTTGACCTGGCCGGCTCGGCTTTGTTGTGCATAAGCACCTTAATCAATCAGTCGGGACTAGGTTTTCCTGCGGGGAAACAGGGCCCACCAACTCTGCTCTGTGACTCGGCCATGTCCAATGGATCCAATGGCTGAAGTGGAAAATCCCGTAGCTTAACTAACTACGCCCCCACACATCAACGAACTAGCTAAGACCCGTTCAACCTCCTCGGATAACAAAATCTCGAACCAAGGTCCTTTGGTCAACTTTCCCTCGGGCTTCCATTTGAGTTTCCGCTTCATCGAAATTCGGCGCAAATGGCAATGGTTCGTATATCTTTGCGTCCCTTTCTAGCTCTGCTGCTATTGGGCTGACAATCAATGGATCTATGAGGTTGCTTGGTCTGTGATAATGCATGTGGTCGACTTCGTCGGGCCCAGTTTTACGAGATCCCGGATCTGGTCTGCCAGTCACTAATGATAATTCTGAATGACCCAGCCATTGTTGGGCGAGAAGCCCTTTCAGAAGCTAACTGCACAGGTAATGCCAATTTGTGGCATAATGAAACTTAATACTAAATGTATTGCCGCAGCTTGCACCCCCGCTTTGGAAGAGCTGCCCCCGTATATTATATATGTTGAGGGCCAACATGCTTCGCCTTGTTATCTGTCTTTCGCTATTTGGAACAGAGGCAGCTTGGATTTCTCCTGTTGACCTCCACGGTCCCATTTAGACTTTTGATTGCATTGTCTGTTCAAATTCTGTGGTTTGCTTGGCCAGCGTTCCCAGTTCTGAATTGGGAATATTCTCTTTGCCCTCATCCATCTCAGTGATATCTTTTAGAAAAATATAGCGATACCCTTTTTCTCACAATTTCTCAGAGATGGAGTATTTCAAGCCGGAACAATACACAGCGTTGCCGACCAAAGATCTCCTTTCTTGGATTTTTGATTCGCCTCCCTACGATCAAGATAGACCGGTGAGCTGAACGACCCTTTTACCATTGACCGCTGCTTTAATTTAAATTGGCTTTACCTGCACCGTCGATGATCGAGACCCTTTCCATGGCCTCCTTAACAATACAGAGCTGAATAGTTAACTCAGATCGTTATTCATTACAGATTTATATAGATGCTAAAGACCCCTCAAAATCGATATCATGCAACCAAGCTAGAAAGATTATCCGCCAGCTCATTGCCGGGCTGAGAGCCGCCGGGTTCAAAAAAGGCGACTGTTTGAGCATTCATTCTTTCAATGATGTGCGTGATCATCCTTCCATCGTCTTGAAATTGCGCTCTCATCCAATTACGGAGAAAAGCAGCAATGAAGAAGAAAGTGAAACCATGTATCTAAATTATTGCCAACTGTCACTCTAGATCCATTACTCTATGATTTTTCTGGCCGTCATCGGTGCGGGTGGGGTTTTCGCGGGCACTAATCCTGGATACACCCAATTCGAGCTCTCACATACCATCAAGACCGCAAAAGTGACCTTCTTGATCTCAGAGCCAGAAGTCCTGGACAACCTCGTTGCGGCTGCAAGGAGCAACAATATCCCAACCTCGAACATCTGGATATTCAATACACAAGGCCAACCCGTGCCTGCTGGACATAAATCCTGGACAGAGCTTTTTAAGCATGGCGAAGAGGATTGGATCCGTTTTGACGATCCCGAAATCTGCAAGACCGCAGCAGCAGCCCGGCTTTTCAGCAGCGGTACAACCGGTCTACCGAAGGCGGCAGTCATTAGCCATCTGAATTTAATCGGGCAACATATTTTTGTGCATGAAACAAAACCTCCCCCCCATCAGGTATGTGTGCCTACCTATTTCTCACCAACGAAGCACAAGAGTCTCGATATGGAACAACATCGTAAATGAATCCACAAATACAATATGTATTTAACTTCCGTATAGATTTCGCGTGTCGTGGCCATTCCGTGCTTCCATGCCGCAGCCGTGCCAGCAACGCACGTCAGCGCCCTAAAGGCCGGCATTACGCTGTACATCATACGCCGCTTCGAACTTTTGCCATTCCTGGAAGTAATCGATAAATACAGCATCACCGATGTTTCAACAGTTCCCCCTATGGCTGTTGGTATCGTTAAGTCGCCCTTTGCCAAGAAGGGTTACTTGAAAAAGGCAAAGTGTGGTGCTTGTGGTGCTGCCCCGCTGGACAAAGATGTCCAGAGTGCGTTTCGGTCCATGTTGGGTCCTGGCGCACCTTATACACAAGTCTGGGGTATGACTGAGACGACGTGTATTGCTACCATGTTCTACTACCCGGAACATGACGATACTGGATCCGTAGGACGGCAAATCCCATCTCTTGAGATAAAGTGAGCCTCCGAATATCCACACCCTCCCAAAGTTCCCTTCCCTCCTTTTTCCTAGCTAATACCACGCCTCAGATTAATCGACAATGACGGCAAAAACATATCTGCCTACGGTGTGCGCGGCGAAATTTGCGTTCGTGGACCAACAGTCATTACTGGCTATTTCGAAAATCCAGTCGCAAATGCCGAATCCTTCGATGGCGACTGGTTCAAGACGGGAGACATTGGCTATTGCGAAGAGAAAACGAAGAAATGGTACATCGTTGACCGCAAGAAGGAACTGATCAAAGTCCGCGGGTTCCAGGTTGCTCCGCCGGAAATCGAAGCCGTGTTGCTCTCACATCCACTTATTATGGATGCCGCTGTCATTGGTGTGACGTTTAAGGAGCAGGGGGAGGAGAAGATCGAGCACCCACGCGCTTATGTAGTGCGTCAGCCTGTCCCCGCTAGTCAAAAATTGACGGGGAGGGAGCTGCAGGAATTTGCGGGGGCGAAGTTGGCTAAGTATAAATATTTATCTGGTGGGGTGAAATTTGTGGAGTCCATTCCGAAAAATCCTAGTGGCAAGATTTTGAAGAGACAGTTGAGAGAGATTGCGAAGAAAGAAATTGAGCAGGGGTTGCTTGCGAAGCTGTGATTTGGGGATGAGGGTGATATTCTAGGTGTGTGAGGTATATTTATTTATATATATAGTTATATACCGTAACTATCCTTCCGTTCGTCCTACCTTTTCAGATTGAAGCATGTTCAAAAGAGTGATAGAACACACATGATTTAAAAGAATACGACCCTGCTATCCTTGCAGTAACCGGGCCCTGGTTGATTATGAAATCAACCACTGGTCAGACCCTTGCATATAAGGGTCTGCCACCTCAACATGAACCGCCATTTCAACGTGAATTTTTTTTGAAGATATTCTATTCCATTTTCAAAATTCAATAACCAGTCAACGCAATGACTTCTTTATATATTTTAATAGAGAATAAGATCACGGAAGCTCTAAAATCCATAGCTAATGTTGAAAATCTTAATATTAGGACATTGGTGAGAGAATTCAATATTTCTTACTTATATTTGATCAATCAATTCCATGGTCACCTCCTTCATATCAAAAGAACATCTGCTAACCAATTATTATCTTCTGGCTAGGAAAAATCACTCTATCAGTATATAGAAATACTAGATAAAATAGACCTATCTCTTAATTGATTAATGATATTTGATGCTGCTTAATTCATTTTTATAGAGAGTTATAAAGATCTTATTAATCTTTTATTTGAGACTGAAGAACATTGAGTTAAAAGATTCATCAAATATTATTTTAAATACAATATACAATGATAGAGGATTATTGACATGGCAAGGAACTAAGCTCATAAGCTATTATTCATACTTGATTGATTTAATCATTTTAAGAAAACAGTAAATAAGTTTGAAATTTAACTTAACAATATTTACAACTTTAATAAAACAAAGTTCAGAATAGAAATCAAATGAGATCAGTGAATAGTGATACAAGATCTTCAAAGATAGATATATGTTAAAAGCTCAAATAATAGAGAAATTCTTACAATCATTGAAGTAATCTTAACAGATAACTTCATCATCTTTTCTTTATACATTCTCATTGCAAAGTAGTTACAGAAGTACTAGACTGACGAGATTGAGAAGAATGCTACGATAAGTATATAAGATACTAGCTATAATAATGATCAAATTTTTTTCAGTGAATTTAATACTCCTATCACTCTATAAAAAATTATATCAAAGAATCTCATCATCTGCTTCTATTAAATGACTTTGACTCTTACTGTATATATGAGTTTATAAATTATTATAATAAAAATAATATTATTTCCTTATATATTATTTCATATATAAGTCATCTATTATAGTCTCTGAATATATAAGTTTTTTAGATATTTAAGCATTATTATTCATTGATAGTTGAAGAAGCAACAAGATATGGTTATAAGAAGTTTACAAAAGTTGAATTTCTTTATATTATCATCTTTATATAAAAGGTGATATTCAAGGTTCATATGATCAAGAGAGGATGAGAAGCAACAGGTTTAATTCTATTTAATTAATTTATTATTTTTAATAAATTATATAAGTTTAAGATAGCTTCTATAAGTACTTTTATATTCATTTTCATAGACTTTTTGATCTGGTATACTTCTTCAACTATATGTCAATTCAACTAATAAAATTGCAAATCGGAGACTATGGAGGATGTTGAAGACATTGAATATATTCAAACTGGGCTAAAGAAGTTCTCTAAGAGCAGTATTACAATAATCAATATAGTGACTCTTTTATAGAATAAGCTTTTAAAAACTGTCATAATTACTGCAGCTTACAAACACTGCTGATGAGCATCTCAAAGAGTAGTACATAAGAGAGAGGTCATATTCACATCTAATATATGCAAGATGACAGTCATTCATCAAAAGTTTGATAATCAGAAGACATTAGAAAAGCTGCACCTAAAATGAAAGAAAGTTATAGTAAAACTTAAATAATATTATAGAGACAAGGATATTAATATTAGAGTCTCCAAATTTACTAGGAAGAGTCATAAATAAATTGTCTACTGCATAATCAAGTTGTATTTAATGAATCTTGCTACATTTGTTGATAAATTAATATAATATCCTGGATAAAAAATAATTTCATATTGAAATAGCAGTTCATATTGAGGTGGCAGACCCTCATATGCGAGGGTCCGACCAGTGGTTGATTTCATAATCAACTACTGGTTACTTAACAAAGAGCTGCCAGTTAGTTTTCTCATCTTAGATGCACTGGCAGCTAGGTTAAAGCCAATTGTTCGATCGATGGAAGTTTGTCCATCTCCAGCTTCTAGGTTGCTTTTGCAGTACCTTATACTCATCTTGAATTGAAGATTGTTTAGAGTCGTAACTAGAATAACATTGCTAATTATCTATTGAATAATGTTTGATGAATCTCCAACTTGACCAGTTTTCGTGACGGAACTTCAGTAGCGAATAGAACGGGCGATGTACCATCTACTGTAGTTTTATAAAGCAAAATGATGAGGAGAAGATGTAATAAATGTAGCAATTCATGGAAGATACTTAACATATTGAGAAAAGCACAAATGAAAAACGCCCATAATTTCCTGTTCGTTTTCCCTATAACCCACAGAGTAGCTTCTCAAGTTCCTCTTCCCTTTTTTCCCGTCCGAACACTAGTATAAGTAAAACAAATTTGCACAACAAAGGAAAAACAAGATGGGAGAGGTGATACGGAGGTTGCATGCTCGCACAACAGTTGATAGCGGATCTCTACACGTATTATATGTTTCCAAGAAATAGCATGAAGCTCCAGAAGCTCTTCACAGGCGCAGACCGCTACTCGACGGGCGGTGCAGATAGTGTTTGAAAGGATGCAGCCCGCTTTATATCAGCTTGCCTTGCCTCCACTCCACTTCATTAAATATGGAATTGCATCGTAAGAGCTGACTATGCACCGTCACCCCAAATCCCAACCACCCCCATAGAGAATCCCAACCCAAGAACCCACGTTCTCAGTTTCAGGAACTTGCGCTCCTTCTCCATCTCGTTTTGAACAGTCTCGCCATTGACATCAGAATCCTCGTCAGTGGGTGGGGTTGCTGTATTGGATGCGGTAGCAGCGGTAGCGGATGAAGCGTCTTCTTCACCCACAATTTCAATCTCACTTCCATTCCCATTGAAGTCATCCTCCTCACCTCTCACCAAAATGGAGCGTCCGGCACGGGCACGGTCATGACCCCAGGAGAAAACGCCAAAACCAGATCTCGAGCAGGAGCCAAATCCAAGAGAGCCAGCTGACAGACAGCCCCATGTTATTGTTTTGCCATTATGCCACCATTCCAGGCCTGTACCGCCAATTATCGACATAAGAGCCGTCCAGATCAGGTACGGATGCCTTCTGTGAGGAGATGACAGGGTGAAGGCAGTAAGGAGGGCAAGGGCAGCGATATGGCTGAGCCTCAGAACATGTTTTCGGGTGTGAAGTTGGACTTCTTTGAGTGTTAGGGAGGCCGCCCCAGCGTTAGGAAAGGATTGAAGCGATGGAATGGTGATAGCAGAAGTGGCGTACGAAATGCCCTGTGTTACACAGTTCGTAAAAGTTAGTCTCGTATCCTGGGTTTCCCTGATAATGTTTTCTCCCGCGCACTCTCCTCGCCAAACGTATGTTTGCTTCTTCTTCAGGGGGGGAGGGATGACTCACTGTTAAAAGGCCAAGGGAGATGGTCCCCACGAACTTTGAAATGGTAATGGGACAAGCCATGACGGGCGATTGATGTCTATTGATGCACACAATAATCGCCTGATAGTGGAGAGAAGGAGAGGTCGGCGCCGGGGGTGTTCTACGACAGCGGATTCACCCGGCAGGTTCGCCACGCAAGGGGATAGAGATTGCTGAGCAGTCCGCAATGGCGGGTATGGATATTCCGCCAATCAAGGAAATTTTTGTCCACCAAGCTTTTGAACTGCAGCTGGGAGTACTCTGGGCAGCAGAACAATGTGGAATTAAAGGGACCGTCTGCTGTCAGGTTGAAGATATGATGTCAATTTTGCTGGTTGGACGCGGCTTACTCATCGTCGGCTTGGCCAATCAGAAGCGTTTCAGTTTTATAACCCAGACAACAACGTCAAAGGAATAAAATATATCCCAATACTATGAATCATTGTGATATGGAAGCATATTTATGGATATGAATCTGTATTTATTTTTATAACATTGTTTTGGCCTCTGGTGAATATTGCGCAATTCAAAGCAGCTTAGAGTAGTTAAGTAACTAGCAGGGCTCTACGTCCTTTACCACATTTACTACAGTGTGCTGGTGCTCACTCTTCAGTACACTGATTTGAATCCTCCATTACTCCCTCCACAGCTTGTTGAGCAGCTTGAGCCCTAGCTAATCCTTCAAACCAGTTGATTTAGGGCTTGATTGGTTGGACTAGAAGGGCTCTGTGTACAGCACTTAATATACTGCTTGATCTTGTTGGACTCATGTTCTAATTGAGCCACATTGCAGGGATCTTTGTGGTCCAGGAAGACTGAGATTCATGAGATGTGCCAGAGGGACTGGGTGTATGTAGTTGAGAATGTAGGCGCATAAGAATCTCCTCTGAATTGTATGACACTAAGCCTGTGACCTTGAATCCATTCGAAATAGTTATATCCTTCAATGCCTCCTTTCTAGCTGCAGCATATAGACCTAAGAAGTCATCCTTACTCACATGATTGATGCCAACTCTCATGCCTGTTTTAATCTGCTTGTCGTATGCCTTCTTTAAAGAAGCCAAACAGCTTACATGTAAAGGTCGAATGAATCTTCCAACTCAGCATTCTTCAATTGTAGATGATGAATCAGTTTCTATACATGTCTTCAGTAGCTGAATGGCCATATCTCGTATGCTTGTAATTTGGGAGGATAGTCCTCTCTCTCATCCATGGATATTAATCATTGAACTAGAGATTCCTTTTTTATTGTTGAGATCAGCTTTCGATTGCCTTGTTGAGAATTCGCGTGTGTGGTTCAACCACGTAGTCGGTAGGATAGGCTTGAGAGAGCAACATCATACGCCTTGACAACTGCTCGCAGATGCTTGAAAATTGCTTTGTCTCATAAGCTCTAATGGCTAAAAGAAGCTTTCCTTCCTGATTGGAAGCTTGATCTTCTGAATTGGTGGGCATATTGAATGATTTGGTGGATTCAGGCGGTTGGAATGGAACGGTGGTCCGGTGGGGGTTGATCTGTTTCGGCAGGTGATCGCTTACGTTAACTAGTTAACTTAAATGACAGAAAAGATGCCGAGGTTGTTTTGTTCCCCCAATTAATAGGATACAGATCAAACACACCCAACTGAACATAAGAAGATTATAAAGCACGGCATACCTGAGCAGTGTTGAATTATAAGATATAGAGCTCTTAACTTTGAGATATGTTTCCGTTTTATCTCTAAGTTATCCTACACTTCAATCAGGCCTATTCTGCGAACATTTTTATTACATCGAGATCAAAATAAAAGAACTTAAAACGGATCCATATAAATTGACAGCCAGCTCCCATAATTCTACATCGAGATAACTCGGTTTCCCTACATTCTCAGATAAATATTTCAGGCCTCCCACCCTCTGAAGTTGTTCTTAAGCCTCCACAATTGCTTTTGTCCTGCCGAACACACGATTCCTGCCGAAATTTATACCAGCACATTCAGAAAGAAGCAGTCTTCCCCTCGTACAATGCCTCTCCCAAAGTCTGCGTATATTAGTGAAGTATGGAAGGATGGGATCTTTGGTATTGTGCTAGTGCTCTCTTCGAATCCTATCTCATAACCGTGCAGTTCTGCGCGCATATCAGAGGAGCCCCATTAGGACTAACCAGAACCCCAATCACTAGAAAACAAAGTCGTCTTCTGCACCGGCGGTGCCGGTACCATCTGCAGCGCTCAGGTACGAGCAATGGTCTATTTAGGCGCCAACGCATTCATTCTTGGACGGAATATCGAGAAAACTGAGCGAATGGCCAGGGACATTGCTACAGCCCGGCCCGGCGCAAAGGTTATTGGACAAGGAGGAACTGATGTTAGAGATTTTAATATCATAAAAGCTGCAGCTGAGCGTTGCGTGAAGGAATTGGGTTCAATCGACTTTGTTATGTGTGTACGCCCCTTGTGATTTCTATCAATCCACAGAGATGGGCTGCCAAAGCGAACTTTTACGGGCCAGTCCCAAGACCGGCATATCCGTGAGTCCGTCGATTTCGAGGGCGAATAATCGATGCTAATATGAGTCTTCTCGGACGCAGTGCTGGTGCGGCTGGCAATTTCCTTGCCTCGATAGAACAAATTTCCGTAAACGCTTTCAAGAGCGTCATGGACATCGATGTCCTGGGATCATACAACACCCTAAAAGCCACCGTCCCATATCTCATCGAATCTGCCGCAAAACATAAATGCGATGGAGTCACGCGTGAGTTGCCCACAGAGTGAATCTTCCTTCTTGCGTATCGGTTATGCTACCATTACGGATCCTGACGTTCTCCTAAACTTCCTCTTAATACAGCCTCCCCCACCGGTACAGGCGGACGCATCATCTTTGTCAGCGCAACGCTCCATTATGCTGGAGTCCCACTCCAATCACATGTATCCGTCGCCAAAGCCGGTGTCGATGCGCTATCCAATAGCGTTGCGATCGAATACGGGCCCCTCGGTGTCAATTCCAACATCATAGCCCCAGGACCAATTGCAGACACAGAGGTTCGTTGCACTCCGGAAAGAGGCTAATCGTGTTCAAAATTGGTTTGATCAACTAACAGCCTTCTTCAAATAACCAGGGAATGCAACGACTTTCCCGTGCTGAGGATGCGATGGAAAGCAGATCGTCAATCCCATCTGGAAGATGGGGCACCGTCAAGGAAATATCTGATGCCACCGTCTACCTTTTCTCTGATGCCGGAAACTATGTCAACGGCTCGACTGTTGTCGGTAAGTGCAAATTCAAGCTTAGATTTGTTTCATAATAATGTTTGGACTGACTTCTCGCTCTCTTTTACCATTGTAGTTGATGGAGGTGCTTGGCGCTTGCAGCGCTCGGGCGGCTCCCGCCCCGGATTCAAGTACCCAGACTTCCTTCTCTCCGGAAAGGAAGTGACAGGCGTGGCGGGGACGAAGAAATCGAAGTCGAAAATTTAAAGGTGTATATGTCTATACAGGTAAACCGTGAGTTGAATCATACGATATGAGGGGCATGCATTTGTGCTTCTACTTATGTTATATAGCTATATACTGTCTACTACATTGGCATTTTTAGGCAGTGTATTCATGTTCTAATTTCTTGCATTTTTGTCTGGTTTATATAAACTTCAAATGATGAATGAGTATGTATTCATTTACGAGTCTGCAGCACTTGTCTTGAATTACTACCTGCTCTCCCATCCATATTATGTGGCTTTGATAGATGATAGTAAAATTGTTCGAGTGAGCTTTCCTGTTTACGGTTAACATTCTTGGTAATTTCCCATCTGATCCTGTGTCCTGATTGCTACTAGGTTGATGTAACAAATATATTCCTTAACGGGGGGTGAGAGAATTGTGGTCACTTTGAAACGTGGAGACGGGTCTTTCGAAGTCAAACATTAGAAAGAAACCGAACCCCTTCAGCTCATCAACAGACTGAAATAAGACATTCCCCCGAAAAACATGCTAGTAAACCTCACCTCCTTAGATCGATCAACCAAAACAATTCTCATTGCTATATACCTTATGAACAGCAGATTGCTTTGTTTTGACTGTCGAGCCATCTTTACTCTTAAAAGCCTTTTCTAGCTGTCCAATTCGAAGTGAATAATGGGAGGGGGAGGGAGGGTTTAAGTCTACAGATAGTAACTATAGAAATACCTAGGTGTATGCATAATTTCATTTTTCGTCCCAGCCAGGTCCCCTAATTTCCCCCTTTCCTAAGAATTATGAGATGAGCACTGCAAATATATATAGTTATATAGTTATTTAGTACTGCTAATCAATAAGACACTGGGCAGATGAAGTATAACACGGAGCATTATTAACATGGAAAATGGTTTGATGGAATTATACCAGTTAGCAAAATTACAATTCTTGGACGAAAGTTAGTATTTAAGTTTCACATTGTGGAATCGACAGCCACTAATAGCAGGCCCTTGTAGCTCAGTGGTAGAGCGCATGACTTGTATGGTTATCATGAGGTCCGCGGTTCAATCCCGCGCGGGGGCATATTTTTACCACATTATGTCCGAGTAAAACCTAGGCATCGTTATGATGATAATCATAACTCAATCATTCCTATCTTGTTTCCTCTCATCAGTTCAATTAATTTGAAATGTAATGAATCCAATAACTATCATTTCAATCAAGTTTATACTTCAGCTGTAAGAAATTTCACTCTGCGCATCTTTCCGAGTCTGCTAACGCCACTATAAAACAGGCCCTTTAGGGAACAACACACACACACACACACACACACATATATATATATACAGAGTTATCTTCTTGGTTTAGCAGGTGTCACATTCGTCTGCTATTTATTACCTTTGGCCTGGTATGCCCTACTCATGTCAGCCTCGTTCTTCGAGTAAACACTGAGCTAAGATGAAGTCGACTTCAGACGGAAATGCGCAAGCTCAAGTGAGAAACTTTAATTTTCCGCTTCAGACAGGACTTGCCACATATAAAAGTTTTCTGGAAACCGAAACTCAACAGCAGCGCGCATGGCTAAGTGGTTACGGCGTCCCGCTCGTAACGGGAAGATCGTCGGTTCGACTCCGACTGTGCGCATAGGTTTAAGTTCAGCATCACAAACTACCATATTCATTTTTCGCCTCGCTTTCATTATTACCCATTCGCTGCCTACCTTAATTTCTTGTTCTATTTTTTTTTTTTTTTTTTTTTGTATTTTTATTCTTTTCTTTTCCCCTAGCTTTTCAGGGCCGAAAGACTGCCGCCAATTTAAAAAGGTTGCTTAAGCTGTCAGTTTATCAAGTTCAGTCTACACCAATTTCATTTCATCTTGTTTAGTAGCAACAGAATATAACTGATAACTAAGGAGATACCAGGCTGTTAAAATAAAACCTTTTTATTTCTCCTTCAACCTCCATTGCATTATGCATGAGACTCCACAACCTGATCTCATCCGCAAGTAGCATATTGTGTGCTTCTTTAATAATTGGAACTGCAACATGTAGTGTCGCCGTGGATGATTAAAGGTGAGACTTTCACTCCTAGCAGCACAAATATTCATGAAGCCCCTGTTATGTTGAGTGAATCTGTCTTGGCCTTCTCAAGCTATTCCAAATCCTTATTCAGAAGAAGAGACTTGGAGTCCCGCCTACGTGATGTGTATCAAGCAAGGCTGTACGTTGTTTGTTGAAGGCATGTAGCCGCCTCTAATACACAAGGGTATCTTTGTCGCTGGTTAACTTCATAGGTACTAAGGTATCTAGCAGGCGGGGGGTTTCTGGATCACTATGTGAGCTGGTGCATGTCTATACCTCTCGGTTCCATTAGTCTAACCGTACGACATGGTGACCCTGGAGCTATTTATTTTGTTCAATTTTGATTTGAAAATTGCAAAAGTGGATCGATAAATTTGTTTAAACTACCTGTGGTAGCTATCCCTACCGCGACAGGTATTTGTTATTGCAATGTGAATTCATCCCCAAGTGAATATAGCCGCCTTTCCCTGAGTATAACCATGATTATGAATACCGTGATAATTGAACATCCCTGGCGGCTGCTTCGATTGAGGAAAGATATAGAATATGTACAACCGCAATGTGTATAGAATACGTCCAGCATGTGGCACCCGTGGAATATAAGAAAACGATGGTGTATTGTTCCTTTGTGTGACAAACGGAGGCGGAGGTTGAACCCTAGCATAAGGAAGTGGGTAAATTCGGGGGTGAAAGAAAATCAACTCCAAGAACTTGGTTTGGATGAAAGACGATGGAAGAATGAAAGGATTTAAGAGAGAGATGCCACTAATCACTCCCAGGAAACACAGAGGCTCGATTTCCTTGTGTGTGTGAAATGATGGAAAAAGGACTTTCACCGTTAAAGCAATGGAGGTCTTCTTTGGTGTATAATTAGGCCTTGTCGAGGCACATCATTTGCTTGATGTATGGATTTTGCCATTGTTGAAGATGGAAGAGGATAACCACACAAGAGGCCGGTAGAGTGAATCTCCTTCCCATTCCCCCTCCTCGAGGACGGGTCATTCACAAAAGATCCTCGCACACTGCCGACCCCAAAGCTCTGGTTTCGTCCTTTTCTTCCTGCTCTTGCTTCCTTTCTTTCATCTCCTCTCTTTCATCCATCTTGTCATGACAAAGGAAAGAAATACGTCATCGTTCGTTGAACTGCCCAGGACATCCGCCTTCTCGAGCTTTTTTTACTCTGAATTACACAGTTCTCTCTCCATAGAGCCGATTTCAGAACCCAAGAGTTGACTTATGTATCTGGGCTGTGCCCACCCTGGTCGAATCATTAAAGAAAACGCGTGGAATCCAAGTAGTTGTGGTGTTACTGTGCTTGGAATTCGTCGAGTCAGTTCCTCCAATATCAAAAGCTCCATGCCACTTCGATACTTTCTTACCCCAGAATCCAGCCCCTCATAAAATGTCACGATCCAAACAAACGGACAAATCACCAAAACATACCTTGATCATACTCAAAAACAACACCCAATTTCTTCAACTTTGATACCAGAGGCACAGAGTTGCGTGATTTTCAGAGACTGAGCCCGCACGAGCAGCTGGATTTATTGATAGCCCCGGTGTCTAACAAAGCCTTTCCTCGTATCGACACCCGCCTCAATATCGACAAAAGACTAATTGCTCTTGTTTAATTTCACCGACTTCTTCAAGATTCGGAACGATTGAGTTTCTAGTCCTGAAATAGATCCCCGTTTTATCACAAATCTCAATGCCCCCCTTCCACCCCCCATATTATTCAACTAACAAAAATGGGCGGAAACAAGAAGAACACCGGGAATGCCCCTGGTAACGTTATCAGCCAAAACACTCCCGCTCAACAAAGACCAGTTTCTCCAGGAATTCAAATCAAGGGCTTTGCCAATACCCTAATGGCAAAGGAAAACAAAAACCCCAACGTTCAACCTTCTAGCTCAGGGGTCGCTGCCGCCGCTAGTACAGCAACTCATCGGGTGGGGAGATCAAGTGTGTTGTATGTTCCAAACCCTGCCGGAGTCAAAACGGTCTATAAACCTATCATTACCAACAAAAACGGGCCGCTGGAAACGTCCAATTCAACTCCAAGAGGCAGCAATGCCGTAAAGGGGAGTGTTAGCACTGAAGCGCAGACTATAAAGTCTGGAAGAGAAATTTCCAGTGTGTGCGTAAAAGCTTGTCACAGAGCTGCAGTCGACCCACAGACGCTATTGAGAATGAGATCAACGTCGCCAAGCAAGTCAGGCTCCGAAAAAAATACACAATCCTCTGTAGCTTCCAAATCAATGGGAGGGAGCATGGACAACGTCACGGGCACCGATACCACTCCATCCGGCAAAAACACGAAAAAGAAACGAAAGACCCGCAGAGCAAATAAAAAGAATAAGTCACCTGCTGGCGATCAGCAGTCTGAAGTTGATGGAGACGATGAAAGTAGCTCCGAGTCTGACTCGTCGATCGTGCCGGAGCAGCCTGTACTATCCGAGGTACCTGTAAGCAAGCGGCCAATGACGGCCGTCGCAACAAAAGATAGACCCGCTCCTGATATTAGAATCGTGGGGATAGATGTGAAGGGCCAATCGAGCAAATGCAGTAGCTTGAGCAGCATTGGTTCATCTGCAGCCAAAAATACAGGCCCGTATCAAGCCGAAGCTGTTGTCCCATCTCCAGCTAAAGATGATGCCTCATCTTTAGCTAAGGTTGCTACCCCATCTCCAGTCAAAGTAATTATTTCAAAAGTAGCCAAAAATGTAATCCCGCTTCAAGCCAAAGATGTTGCCCCATATACAGCCAAAGCCATTGTTTCATCCCCAGCCAAAGCTGTTGTTTCACCTTCAAACAAAGTTGCTGCTTCATCTCCAGCAAAAGCAGTTGTACCACCTCTGGCCAAAGATGCTAGCACATCTCAAGTCAATGATGCTGCTTCAGCTCCAACCAAAGATGAAGGGTTGCATCATCTGCAGGCTGACAGAGCAAAAGTTGCCAAATCCACGGCGCCCAACAATGAGCCTGATGGGAAGTATAGTAACAGCTCCGATAACAGAGAAGTTGAAGAGGCGCTCACGGCGCTAGGAAGCGGGCAAGGACCAAGTGTTACAACTCCCGCCGCGAAGAAACGCCGGCCTCGACCTAGCAAGGCAGAAAAACTACTGAAGCAGCAAAAAGCTGCTGAAAAAGTTGCTGATTCAATGCTTCAACAAAACACCTTGGAAGGAGGTTCTGAACCCTCTGGATCAAAGGATGGTATTTCTGAGTGTCTGACTATAAGCAAGACGGATACCCCATCAGATGACGAACTTACAGTTGAAAAGGTGGCTGACATTTTTGGAAGCCATATCGTACCCGAGCTGGCCAAGCTGGAGGACATCAAGGCTTTAATGCTTAAACAAATCCAGATTATCTCGGGCAAAACTCAGTTGCTTAATAAATATGCCAAGGAGAATGGGGCGGTTCGGAAAGCTTTGGAGGAATGCAACTCAACCATCCTGACCTTGGAAGAGGACAAGACCGTGCTGGAGACGGAAATCACGTTAATTAGAGAGACGATGAGAATGTGCCGGGGGGAGATGGAGAGTAAAGACGCGTTACTCAAATCTGCTGATCAGGACAACTTGCGGTTGAAGGAGGATCTTGATGCCCGCAGTAGGCTGCTTGAAATCATGAGCAAAGATAGGAAGGGTGTGACAAAATCTGTAGCCGATATGCAAAAGGAGATAACCCAAGTGAAACAGGATGTGGATCGCCTATCCGAAGAGAACCTTGGGCATCTCGCCAAGATCGAAAGGTACGAACAGGAACGTAAGGTGCTCCTGTGGCAGGTGCATCAAAACCCAGCGCTGGCGGAAAATATTCGCTTGGGAAATGAACTACTGGAGAAAAAGGCGGAGCTTGCTGTCGCCAATCAAAACGTCGAGGATTTGGAGAGAGAGTTTACCGCCCTGAAGAAGGCCGAAAAATATGTAAAAGGAAAACGCACCTCATTAAGCGCTGAGTTGGGTTCAAAGTTGGAGGAAGACCAGGAGGAGTGGCAGCCCTGTAGAGATCAAAGGGGTGTGGATAGAAACCCCTTCGCCGCTATGTCTCCACCAGTCAAAAAACACTCACTATTCCAATTTGGCGAACCAACAACTTTCGCGAGCGGGATTGCGACACCCGAGATCAAGTTCCAAATGCCGAAGGCGTTTCTGCCCGAGTTGAGGGATATAAGCAGAGGTTTTGGACCTTCCTCATATCTGAGCGCTGGTACCCAGATGCATATTGAACCTAACGGATCTAGCTCAACTAATAAAAGCAAGGCGGATATGTCAGAGGTTTCCACGCAGGCGGATTCTGAGTTTGAAGTTCGAAGCTTCACTCAGCAAAGCTCAGGAGGCGTAATGGAAGCTTTCACAGAGACAGAGGTAGATGCTGGAACCCAGAAAGTGGAGATGTTGGAAGCATGTACGCAGACGGAGGCAGAGGTTGGCATTCAGAAGTCGGAGATGATGGAAGCGTTATCACAGACAACGACTGACCTTAGCATCTCCAGCTCAACGCGGGCAAGCTCAGTGGCCGTGTTTGAAGCTTCCGTGCAGACGGAGGTTCTGGTCGATGTACGCAAGGTGGAAATGTTGGAAGCCTCAACACGGACAGAGGTAGAGGCTAGCACTCAGAAATTGGAGATGGTGGAAGCGTTTACACAAACAAAGACCGTGTTTGGTATCTCCAGTTCAACTCAGACAATCTCAGCAGGCGTGTTCGAAGCTTCCATGCAGACTAAGACAGAGGTTGACGCTCATGAGGTAAAGACGTTGGAAATTTCTGCCCAGACACAGGCTGGGATTACAGGCGTGACAGATGCCTCAGTTCAAACGGAGCACGTCAACATCTCACGGCGAAGTGGGGTAAGACGTGGTATCATAATCGTCATAATGATGATTGCCTGGGCGGTTATGACACTCTGGAGCCATAAGGAGGAAGAGCAAATATGGCTTGATGCCAATGATCTGTCGCGGTTTGCACTTATTGGTATTAGGGATGGGACGATGGGGCCATACGGCTGGCTTGAGCGGTTGGAATTTGATTTCAAAGTTTGGTTGCAAGCCGATCGGGTGCTCCCTGGCTGAATCATAAAGAGTGCATTTGCTCAACCATACGATACTCGATACCTCCTCCGTCTGTCAACGTAATCTTCGGAGTCGGTGTGGGGGTTTTATCAGCATTTTCTTATTTGTGTAGTGTTGTTTTATTTTTCTTTCTATGTTTTAACTACCCTGCCCTCTGACCGCCAGTAAGGGTATGCTGTCATTTCCATTACCTGCGGAGACAAATAAATTTCTTTGGGGGGTGGTTGGGGTTCGCGGCCCAGCTTTTCCGCTACGTAACCAAAGAAGCTTTGAATCTATTGATGAAGTGGGTTGAAGTCCTTTTTAAACATTTCATCAAGAATGTGAAATATGCCAAAAATATTCTGTAGATGAACTGCAATGTACGATCGTTTTCCCCATTATCATCAGTCCTCTAATTGTGTAAAATAGGTTGTGTAAAGGTAGTTACCAATAGAAAGAATGGGAATTCCATTCCATCGTATCGCCATGTTTCTCTCTTACCTGAGCTGATGTTGATTTGTTGAAGTCCACATCAAAAAGCTTATCTATTTTGGGAATTCTGCCGGTCGCGGGCCGACAATTGTTCCTGGTCGTTTAGCGCTATGCCCAGATTAGCAGCTCGTGACTTCGGTTGCGTCACCCGGATTTCGGATGTTTATAATAGGCGGACAGCCTCCTTCATCCCCTCCTTTTCGCCGTCTTATTCATCAACAACTCTTCATCCTCTTTCTTATCCTTCTTCACTAGAAGTTCATCTCTGTGCATACGTTTTCAAGCCTTTTCTATTTACCGTTCCTTGCATCTCACAGTTTCTTTTTCGCGGTAGATATTATCCCTCCCATCAAACACATAGGGGACGATGTTGCCCTCACTTTTGGTTGCCAGTGCACTGGCATTCCATGCTTCAGCTTTCTTGATTACACTCCCCGCTTTCCGCAGTGTCGGGCACAATTTCCAGGCACTGGATGATACGAACCTAAATACAATCGAGCTAGATGTTAAGTGTGTCGAGTGTCCATTCCCCAAACTCACTGAAGAGTCAAGCCTGCTCTGGGACGATGAATCCGATAGCTGGATGGTATGTCCTCTTATTTTACGCACAGTCGAATACGCTTTGTGAAAAGAAAATATGCTGATTACGTTCCTGCCCACAGAATCTTAACTTCACCACTGATGGTGGCCGCCTGTTGGTGAACGAGAGACAGCTTTATCCCATGCTAAATCCCCCTTCTCCAGTTGAAACTGTTCTACACCGTCAATCCGATGGCAAAACGTCTTTCCCCTTATCAGTCGGTTATGTGTTCGAACGGATGGCTCTAGGTCCAATCAAAGAAGGCAGCAGTGCTGAACTACTCGTATTCAACTTCATGATTATCGATGTTGTCGGATATCCAGTCCCTGTTGATACAGTGAACCTTCACGTGATCAACTTGCCAAGCGGTGACCTCTTAATGGTTGGTGCGGATATCGAAGAAACCTCCCCCCAGATGTCATGGCGCCAGTGCCGCCGGAGGCCTAAATGCCTGAAGAAACTCATCATCGCTCGTATCCAGGCAATTTTAGCCTCAGCAAAGGATAGAGCTATCAGTGCAGCCAGGAAGATTAAGGGATGTGGCAAGGGGCTTTGGAGGGGAGCTATCACTGCAGCTGGTGCCTCGAAAGAGAGATCTCATCACCATTCCAAGGACCGCTCATTTGCACGGGCTTTTGCTCGGGCTCTTCATGTCTTTGTCGTCCCGGCTCTTCTTGGCTTATCTGCAGGCCTCTTTGCCTGCATCGTAGGAATCGTACTTGGCCAGGGAATTGTTGCTCTGTGGGGTTGTTACCGCCGCTCCAACAGCCGTGAGATCACCCATGTTGAGAGCGGTGATGACGTGGAGAAGGAGCCTTTGTTTGTACCTGAATATGAAGAACTCCCACCCCACTATGAGGATGAGGATCATGGAGGTATTACTCTGCCTGCCGAGAAGGAGTAAAGTGATTTTGAGGGAGACTGTCGAGCCAACTTATCTAAATATGCAACCGTTCGTGGGTGTCGAGGATGGGGGCTGCTACATTACCAAAGCCGTTTTTTTCTTTTCTTTTTCTTGTTGCTTCACTGTGGTTCTGTCAACAGGAGCTAGAGGTGATATTATTGCACTTTTGCAAACCCATGCATGGTCACTCACTAGGTGTTTCAGGTTTTAACTTCTCCTTACGTTCTTCCCCTTTTATTATTGTCTTTTTAACTAAAGCTCGATAGCCAAGTAATTAAGACAGAGAGTGTTTTTCAGTTGTAAAGGAATTTATTTCCCTGCGCTTGAGCCAGTGGCTGTGCAAGATTGACTATGGGTATCCATGTAATCGTTATCCTCTCAGCCCATTTCTCACCACCCCTTTCATTCCCCTTGAAACGCACTTCTTTAGTTTCAAAGAGTGATGGAAGCATTGATTTTCCGTATTTGTTACTAGGATTCACATACCATGTTACTATACTGACTTCCGTAGCGATTACGTTGAACTCCTACAATCTCACTTTATCAACTGTGATTAATTGATAAAACTACTCGTAATATATAGACATCCATCCTGGTGCACAGATACTCGCACAGAAGATACCTATTTTAACTGCTATCTAATATGTCCGGAACATCCAGCAACTGCAGTATCTATGTTTACTGTGTTCCTGATATTCGTACCTGGTCGTATTCGCTGTTTCACATGAGCTTATATTACGAATCAATGAAAGTAATCTGTCAGACACCGTACAGACAACTCTGCGACAAAGGGTTGAGGGTTAGCAATATGTTATTCCATGAAGTGGATGGAGGTGCTTCGGGCTCACTCTGTGTGCTCTTTGCCGATTTCAATTATAAAAATTGGAGAACTTGAGCGAATCGCGTGGTTATTGAAAAGCTGGTGAGCCACCCAATAGGTGGCTATCTAAATTTTGGTGTATAACAATTTCGTAAAAGCCATATAAAAACACGCAAGGGGAAATTACCAAATATTATTGAACGAAACTGGAACTAACTGCTAGTGGAAATGTGGGAAAGCATACATAACTTCAGGGCGATTGATGCAACCAAATCAAGGAATTCGCATTTGGCAAGTTGGTTGCCTGCTTTAAGGTGATCGCGTCTAATCCTGCATTAGAAGCGCGGGTATTATCGGAACGGAATAATACTAAGCCGGCGCCAAGTGGGCCAATCGAGACCGCAAGTTTATCTAGACTCCAATCCAACTTCGTAAAAGCAAGGCGACGGTCCGAACGATGGGGATCAGCAGCCATCTACGTATTGTATGACTGTCTCCAATACTTCAAACGACTCTTAATCGCACAGCCTAGTTGTCGAACCGTTAATGGATTCCCAAATCTGAAGTTCTCCTTCCCTGACTGGAAAACAGATTTGTGGTATTTGATCATGACTCCCAGAAACAAAAATCTCCCTCTCTAGCCCCTTGACTACTATCCCAGCTTATGTGAGGTTTTATTGGAACTCAACGGCGAAGCGGTTTTCAAACGGGTACCATAACGTGCTTATTGAACACCAGAACGAAAGCATCTATCCAAAAGTTCATTAACCTCTCTCGTGTGAGGAGTTTTATGTTCGAAGATCGCTCCAATAAATCATGTTCCAGCTCTCATCGCTCGTACAAAAGGCGCAGTCCTTCATTGACCCGACTAACTTCATCCTTTCTTCGGCCTCCTCCGACCGAAATCCTTCCAAAGCATCACTCTTCCGTCAACAGTTTCGCCTTCCGGACTCCCAGAATCCACTTCAAGAAATAAGCGCTGAACTCGTATTACCCGTCCCTTTCTCGGATGCCTCACCGGCAACACAGGGTCCTAAGTATGCGGAACGACCTGGAAATCGATATGAAGGCAATTTGCATCTGAGCGAACGTTTCTTATGTTTTTCGACTCAACATACCAGCTTCTTGCCATCTGCGAGTTTTGGTGCCTCCTCGGCCTTCACGGGCCAAACACATGGGACAGGCCCCTCTGGAAATGGGTTTACGATGCCACTATGTGCGATTCGCAGGGTGGAGCGTCTGAATAGTCTTGGTCATGTATTCTCCCTAGCACTGACGACGTGGAATGGAGCGCTGGTAAAGAGTCATGCGAAGGAAACATCGGTTACACCACAAAGGTTTACGCTCAATCTGATAGGGAGTAGGCATGCATGTGAACGCTTCTGTGATGGCTTAAAACGGGGTTTGAGGGAAGGGATGAAGGATGTGGATAATTTACGGATGGTTGTTGCGGATTGCCATTCAGAGTATTTGTTTAGTGGCCGGTCAACAAAAACAAATGATACATCCGACCCGAACACCCCTCCAAGGGAACCGCCTGATACCGGACTAGGTTTGCTGTTTAGGTATCCTGGAGATGCTCGCAAGCTGAGGGACCGAAGTAAGATGAGATTATGGGGAGAGTATTTTAGAGGTATGTGGAATTGTCGTACTTTAAATGCTGCTAGAATAACTATTGATTTTATCAAGAGAACGGCCGTAATGCAACCATAATTCGCCAACCAACCTTCCACAAATTGATTCGCGTTGGGCTGCCGAATCGGCTTCGAGGAGAAATATGGGAGTTGACGTCCGGGTCGTTTTACGCCCGCCTCCGGGCTCCCAAGTTATTTACGGAAACGCTTTCGAAGTTTTCTGGACGTGAGTCCCTTGCTATAGATGAGATTGAAAAGGATTTAAACCGAAGTCTTCCCGAATATCCGGGCTTCCAAAGCGAAGAAGGAATTGGTCGGTTGCGAAGAGTTTTAACCGCTTACAGTTGGATTAACGAAGAAATTGGTTACTGTCAGGCTATGAATATTGTTGTTGCCGCGTTATTAATGTAAGTTTGACAGTTGAACTATTTTGATTCAATAAAGCAAAAATGAACTGACTTTTGCGCAGATATATGTCCGAAACCCAAGCCTTCTTCCTATTATCAGTTCTTTGTGATCGCCTTCTACCCGGCTACTATTCCACAACGATGTATGGAACCTTGCTGGACCAGAAAGTTTTCGAATCGCTTGTAGAAAAGACGATGCCCGTTCTCTGGGAACATCTTGTTAGATCAGATGTTCAGCTTTCTGTTGTGTCTCTTCCATGGTTTTTATCTCTATATATCAACTCAATGCCCCTCGTGTTTGCATTTCGTGTTCTAGACGTGTTCTTCCTCGAAGGACCAAAAGTCTTGTTTCAAATCGGGTTGGCCATTTTGCGGATAAACGGCGAAGATCTCCTTGATGTGACAGATGATGGGACTTTCATCTCAGTTTTAAAATCTTACTTTTCGAGGCTCGATGAATCCGCACATCCCCGCTCAGAAAACCCTAAACTGAGAGCGATTACTCGATTTCAAGAGTTAATGGTTGTTGCTTTTAAGGAGTTTCAGGCGATTACCCACAACACCATTACAGAGGAGAGAGATAAACATAAGGATGTGGTACTAGATAATATCGAGAGCTTTGCGAAGCGAACATCGATCCGCAATTTAGGCCCGGAGAGTAAACGCCTAAGTGTGGATGATTTAGGCGCGATTTATGACCGTTTTTTTGAGAGATTGTATGACCATCAACAAAGAGTGAGGAAGGCTGACGAAGAGAAAAGATGGAAGGAGAAAGAGAATCGCAGAACTATCGCCCGCTATTCGGCCCTGATGCCAACCCCTGGTGCAGAAATCGGAAGGGTTGGACTTGGACCCAGTCCTACTCTCATGGATTATGAATGTTTCCGAGAATTCCTGGCCGCCACCGCCAAATGGGCAACCACAGATTCTTCGGCTTCACGAAAAGACTCATCCACGGAACGTGGTACACATTCAAACACCAGTTTCAGGGGACGCAGCAAGTCTTGGGATTCTAGCAATAGACCACAGCCGGCGGACCATGAGTTTATGAGACGACTGTTCCGCAACTGGGATGTTGATAAGGTTCAGGGCCTAAGTCTACAAAATGTTGTGAACGGACTTGCTCGTATAAAGGGAACTAGGGATATTATGAACACGATCAACTACTTTTTCGAGCTTTATGACGACAGCGGGACAGGGCAAGTAGACAGAGAAGGCATCTTGCGAATGTCGGAAGCCCTACTCTTCCTATCGAGAAGAGGGTTCGACGGCGCATTGGTTTCTAGTGACGCAGCAAATGCTGAAAACCCCGCTTCACCACCTGAGCAAGGCGTGATGAATAGAACAGATTTGAGCACTGAGGAGAAATTCCTGGGAAGTGTGAGCGCTTTTATACGACGGTGTTTTGAATACGCGGATCCCAGTCACCCACAAAACCAAGACAAGGCAACAAGTGAGATCGAGTGCAAGGAGGGTGCATTTGCCATTGGAGACGATGAGGACGAGGAAGGGGAGTGCCTAGACATAACTGCAAATGCCAACAACAATAAGGAAAACACCAGTACCAATAGTGTGTCCTCTTCACCCAAATCAACGGCTCCTTCACAAAGCAGTACAACAACAAATCACAAACAAGAGTCCAAATCCGCAAACCTTGCGCTCGACCCGGCCCACCCATTACACATCACTATTCCAACATTCCGCATGGTAATCCTCGCCGATGAGCTCCTAGAACAATTCTTTGAAACATTCTTCCCTCAATCATTCCATCTTTCAGATACTCCCAACTTCGCTTCCCTCCGTAACACCTCTCTCTCCTCCAACCTCACCACTTTCACCAACCTCGGCGCAGGACGTCAAGGAACAAGCACAGCATCTGCAGCAGGAGCCACGGTCGCCGGAGCTTCAGGTGGCATCGTTCCACCGGGCCACAAGGGCCTTCGTGGAGTCTTAGATAACATAGTCTCTGATGGAATGCGCATGGCGGCCGAAGTACGTAAGAAGATGGATGAGGCCCAGCGGGAAATGGAGAAAAGCGCGCTTGCTGGGCGGGCGGATGAAGATGAGGATGATGATGATGATGATGTGATGTATGATGATAGCAGAAGCGGGCACAGATCGACGATGACTGGTGGTGGGCGATCATCTGCCCGTGATTCAGATCATGATCTGTTGGAGGGGGCTGAGGTTGTCAGTTTGAGGGACAGGGATGATGCGAACGGCGACGGAGATGGGGATGAGATTGGGCATGGACGTGGCGGGACGAATGCTCATGAACCTCGAACGTAAGCTGACGAGCTGAATGAAGCTTTGTTTGTAATATTGATGAAATGTGGAAGAGGTGTGGTTATTTGTCCTCTCGTGCTTTCTATTTTTGATTTTAGATATCACCCTTGCTATTATTAGTGCCTTGGTCATAAATACTCGTTTGCAGTCCACAAACCATCTTCTTTAATTTTGATCCATGAGGATTACTTTACAGGTGTATTAGAGCCATCTCGTAAGCTAATTTAATGAGTAGAGGAGGAACGGAATTACAACTATTTGTAGGTCTCGAGTTTCCGTGAATAGAGAGCAAAGAGGATACCCTTCTGTTGGTCTGCAAAGTTTAGACACAACGAGATGTGAGATTTTAAAGAATAGTTAACCTAACATCGGGAGATAATATGAACGTCGGAACTGTTGTGTTTATCTGCTAACATCTCTTCTTGTTATAGTTTCCTACTAAGGTCTGTCCATGTTCTTTCTCTTCTGACTCGTACTGTGTGAATGGCCAACTAATATTTGTATGAAATCCTTGCAAGACAGCTCGATGATCTTTACCTGGGGCATTAAAATTGTACATCGTAAGCATGGGACCCTGAGGTTGGCGGTTTCATTCTCGAATATTCAGATGTCATAAAGAGGTAAAACGAACGATGAATTTTGATGATCAGGATTTGTCCTGTATACCCTCAGGTGATGTGATCCATGGATGATAGCAAAGGGTGGATAGCGCGAAACAACTCCGCAAGTACTGATTTCATCGAACTGTTCCATGGATACATCAAGGGTTTCCGTGATAGTTACTAATTAACTTGCTGATCCGTGACAGCGCAAGCATAGGGAGCCATGTATGAGAGCTGAAAACAAGCTGAAAACTTGCGCTGTTCTAACTTGTGGGATTTGGAGATGTAGTTATGCGTGATAATAATCATTCAGTTGAAGTTTTATCGTTACGATTCCAAAGAAGAATCACAAAAACACAACTAAACAGTTGGTAGAACAAACTGTAGCTTATGATACAGAATGACGTAGTCATCCCACTACTTTGTAGCTAAATAAGAGTCTGAATAATGGTTGCATTGATAATACACCTTTGGGTCTCGAGGTTTATCCATCCACTTTCCCCTAGATCATGGTTAATGCACAGGAGGGCCTTTGCGACTTCATGCTGCTTCATATTAATCAATGCAGTTGCGACGAGGTTCTTGAGGGTTCCGAAAGTCGACTCTTATAACCAATACCGTAACTAATGGTTTTCAACTGAGTTTCCGATGCTCAGTCGAATAGTTAAAATACATGTTAGTAGTTATATTTCAGCCGGGTCGCCTGGGTGAATATTATTAGGACTGAGAGGAGCAAACGTAACTGGTCAAATAAAGCGTTGCGCAATCCTATCGGGATTTGGTCGCAACTCACTACTTTGACTATTATTCGACCAAACTCGTTGCTTTCCCCCCCCTTCAGACTCTTAACTAACTAACCTCCGAGGCCGGGTATATCTTGTGCCAACCGAACACAGGATGAACCCCTGAGAAAGAAACATCTCACAACAATGTAATTATGAGAAACCACCGCCAGCTCTCTTCTCAGACATCCTATAACTATCATGAACGATTAAATATAGGGTCAGAAGTTTATGCATCTTGCCTTGTACTTTGACGGGGTTTGTTGTGTGGAGGTGTTGTTGCATGTTGTTGCATGTCGTTACATGTCGTTGCATGAGCCGTCGCTGCTGACTTAGCCAACGTTGATCACCGCAACTTCGACTTCGACTCTTGACTCGACCGGGACCTCGTCTCCTTCAACCACCCTCTCTCGTCCATGCCATACCATTCCTCCCATCTCCCTCACACCTCTGGCCGTTCTGGCGGCTCACCCCTGCCTTTTCTAAAACGTTTTCATGACCGTTGCGCTCTAATTATTTGTCGTTGACTTGGGATAGTGATGCTAACATATGGTTGTACCCCTTTGATATTTTCTTTTCCGCGATCTTGTTCCACTCGTTCAAGGGGCCCTATGACCCTCATGTTTGTGGATTCAACTCTCCATTTGGCTAGGCTCATATTATCAGCCTCTGCTTGAGGCCTAGATTTGGGTCAATTTTTAAGCAGGATTGTGGAGTAGTCCCGCAGAACTTCAAAATGGCATACCAACAAAACGGCCAGCGCCCACAGCAGTATCCTGGCCTCCCCGCGTCTCCCGCACCGCAGTACCATCAGCGCCAACAACAAGAACAACAGCATCAGCATCAGTTTCCGCTATCGCATCCCCTTCAATATCCCGCACACTATGTTCCTGCCCCCCCGCTAGCCAACCAGCAGCCTCGGGTCCCATTGCGACGGACGACGAGCTTCGACGCTGGCGATGACCAAACTTACTTCCATGGGGGTCGACAGCACGCCGGCGCAACTACGGGCTATGTAGGGCAAGCAGACCAAGTAAGCCCTGGCAGTGGGTATGCAGGTTATTCGAGCGGAGGTGTGAACAGCGCCACAACAAATAATCTGGGATCAGGGAGCTTACATTTGTCTGTGAGCTCACAACAAGTGATCAGCCAGCCTTCGCATAACTCGTCTGCGATGGCGGGATATCAACATCATTATCAATCCCCATCCTCAACTTCTCCGAGCCAACCCGCCTATAACCCACTACAGTTCGCACATTCCGCTCAGGCAGCTCATTCACAACCTGGATATAATCCGCAGGCGTTCGTACCCACTGGTACTGCCAACACGCAATACAATAGTCAGGCCTACCAGCATTACAATCCAGCTGCGTATCAAACTCCTCCCTCAGCCACGTATCAAACCTCCCCAACACCGTCATGGCAGCCGGTAACACCCGCTCAGTCGTATGGTTTCTCCCCGTCTTCGCAGTACCAATTTTCTCAGGTTACTCCTCAGCAGCAACAGGTGCCGCTACTGCCACTTCCACCTCCACTTCCACCTCCACGAAATCATGAGAACGCGTACCAGCCGGGGTATTCGTCGCCTCAGCATATCGATACCTCTCCACGTCCGCAGTACGGTTATCCGGCCAGCTCTTCCCAGCCAATCTCATCCGTATCTCTCATCACTCCTCAGTCAACATACACGACCGCACCTCCGACAACCCAGGCTGTTTACACTACGGATGTATATGCAGTCGAGGTTCCTGCGCCTGCTGTTCCAGGAAGGCTCTACACCCAGGGTTCTCAACCTCTACCATCCTCCCCTCATCCTCCTCCACACAATACATTTGTACAAGGACCATCCCATCAGCCACCCTCCCATTCATCTGTCGATGATAGATCGCCTGCAACGTATCAGGCTAGTGGCCTAGTTCCAACTCCCCCTCTTCACCAGACACATCAAATTTTACCTAGGCGAACTGATACACTGAATCGCCACCCACAGTCTAGGCCTTTACCGGGGCCGCCAACACAGACAGAGCAAGTGGCGACATCTGTAGTGGATAGGCGGAATGGACGAGGGGATTTTGATGTTAGTTATGGGGATTCTATGAAACCAATTGAAGGTGCAGTGATAGAAAATCACCCGGCGGGTGCACGACAAAGCCCCCGAACTACCTATCATAATCAACCATGCCAAGGAACTACCGTTGACCGACCATCACCACTCTCCGCTTCGCCGCATCCTCATATATCTCCAGACCTGCATCACTCATATACGAATGGTCATGCTCACATTGCCAATGTTGGACCTGGACTTAATATTAACTACGATGCACATAGTGAGGAGGACGATGCCGAAGCTGCTGCTGGCTTGGCAGCCTTGCAAATGGCAGAGGAGGAAGATGTTATGTTCAGTGCTCGCCGAACAGCAAATTCAACAACGGCGAGTACTCTCGGACTCGTCCATGACAGTCTCCCTTCGATTCCGAACACCCGCGTTGAATCGAGTAGTGATAGTGATTATGCTCATCATGACATGGGCCTATACGGGGGAGGGTACGACGCTCACCTGCACTATGGTGATAATAACCCAAACATTAGTCCTGATACTGGACAACTTGTCGCCACTTCTGGCTCGATGCGAAGTTCAGATATATCCACGGACGACCTCGGGACGAATTCGGATAATTATGAATACCCAAGCATGGACCAGGATTCCATTCACCCTTTCCCATCCCATAGTAATCCGGCACGAGTGGATGTCGTTGGTATTGGCGGTCTCGTACAGCCCACAATTAACAACAGAAGGATGAGTTTCGAAGATGGCGATGAGGGAGCTATGAATAGGCCAGGCACGCGGCCCACTTCAGGGAGTGACACTACTGATGAAGGCGAACCCCAGGATTTATTCTTCCATCCAGGAATGTCTTCCAGGCCTCTACCTCCCGCACCTGTTCCTGTGGCAAGCAAAAATCTTATCCCGCATCTGATGCCTGCAGGTACTTATCGGAACCGCGAACCACATGGGCAACAATTTAATACCTATGGACAACCTCCCTATCCCTCTCATCCAGAAGAGCTTGTTCAACCCTCGTCAGCTGTTCCACGGTCAACTTCTGTTTCTAACCATACGAATAGTCCTCGCGCTGATCCGATTATTAGGTCAAAAACGGATGCGGATAGAATTAGGCTGAAACAGGGTTCATATGATTCGCCGGGCGCGACACCTGTTACACTCGACCTGCCTACCATCCCAGCCGGAAGGCGTAAGAAATTTAGCCCCGCGAAATTGTCAACGGAACAATTCCGGAAGTGCACTGAACCCTGGGCTCTTAGTGCTGTAGTCGCGTGGATCAAGGACTTGAGTGAAGATGAGACTGACCTGAAGGAACAGGCCATTGTTGATGCTGTTGTCGCATTATTTACCCACAAGGTTCCCACCATGAACACTATTGATGCGGAAGTTTTGGGCGATAGGATTGTGAAAAATATGTTAAATGAAGGTGTGTTAATTAAAGATGAAGAATGGGTTAAATTCGGGCCTTCAACCCTCTCGGGCGTCTTCTGGCAAATTAGTGGTCAAGGCTGCTACTCGTCCCGACTGCATTTACAGGAAGGTGAATCTGTTGGC